TAAGACTGGCTGCGACCGATTTGGTCGCTCGGAGGTTTCACTGGTCTCCTTGGGGTCCCAAAGTGGTGTAATTCTAATCGCAGATTGGTTTCCACTGTGCGGCGATCGGTTTCATCTACACAAGGGTGTTGACTCTTTGCAATCTAGTGGCGGCCTATCGGTGATTGATCAGTGATGAGGCTGTTATCCACCCGCGCTTCATCGGTGACTGGTCGTCGATCAGTTGCAAAGTGGTTTCCAGGCGTGCGTCGATCATTCGCCGTTGGGTTTGTAACATGTCACCGTCTGGAAAAAGACCTGTCTGTGCATTACACTCTACAGCATTATTTTGTCATAAGTACCCAGAGAGTTCACATCAATTATTTCCATTCATCACTATGGTCCGTAAAGGCAAGATACAATGCAACTGCTGTGGTGCACAGGTCTGCTACAATTGAGCCAGAGTCAACAATATCTCAACAAAAGAAGATGCGGATACCTGATGAGGAGAAAGAGCCAATCAGGCTCCATTCTGAGCTCGCCCATGAAATCACCACGACTTTGTCTCTCCAACTCTGCCATCAGATTCACCTGTGGCCTTCTTGCGATCCAAGGTCTCAGCCAGTACTGCCTTCGCCTTATCCTTCTCATTCTTCTGGGGGCGGTCGGGTAGCCTAGTGGTTAAAGCGTTAGCAAGTCACGCCGAAGACCCGGGTTCGATTCCCCAAAAGGGTACAATGTGTGATATTGCTGGAATATTGCTATAAGCGGCATAAAATCAAACTCACTCACTCATTCATTCTTCTGTACATCATCATGGCGGCAACTGCAGCATTTTGATATTTTCTTTGCAGGCAGAGCATCTGCAACTGTTCTGCTGTTAACATCTGGGCAACTTTCAAAGAAATGATTCCCCGTTCAATTGCAACAAGTCACCGAATATTCGCTGACTAGTCACCGATCGGTCTCAACCGGTTGCAAACATTTCGCCGTATCTGCGGTGAACAGTTGCCGATCAATCACTGACAAGTTGCTAATGATCGGCGATCATACCCTAATTCAAAATATGGGCAGAAGTAGTTGCACCGGTACTCGCTAGTTGCACTCGCTAACTTTGTTGATTCATGTCATCGTACTTTGTAGATTGATGTTTATGATGTCAATCATTGAATTGTCTAGTCCAGACTCGATTACTAACAGATGTTACTGAGTGTGATGTTAAACAAAGTGGAAATAACAGCATGTAACTATCGACTAGCCCGAAGAGGGCTCTTTATACGGCTTTCTGGGGTTCAACACATAAAACAAAAACACTGTGAAAAATATGGAGTTTTTTTTATCAAATTATTATCTTCCAAATGAGAGTTGGAAAGCTGAAGTACGAGTACGATTTTGAGCTATGAGTTTTCCTCTTGTGAGGTGAATTGTCAAAATGCACACGGATTCATAACTGTCTCCAAATTCTTCAAAAACTTTCGATGTTGATACCCATTCTTGTTGATTGCGTCTGAAGGATTCCAGAAACAACATCGAAGTGAACCGTTTAATTAATGGTCAGTTTAATTCATCAATCATTCCCGAAAAAATGCCCAAATACAAATCCAGTGATTTGAATTTCACTCAGATTGACATTATCATTTTGATTGCCATCAATGTGAAGCGCACGTACAATCTCTAAATTCATCAGCGAAAATGTTTTTTTGTTTTGTTTTTTTGTTGTTTAACGCCGCATTCAGCAATATTCAAGCTATATGAAGGCGGTCTGTAAATAATCGAGTCTGGACCAGAAATCCTGTGATAGATATCATAAGCATCGATCCACACAATTGGGATCGATGACATGCTTCAACCAAGTCAGTAAGGCTGACCACCCGATCCCGTTAGTCGCCTGCTACGACAAGCGTAGTCGCCTTTTAGGGCAAGCATGGGTTGCTGAAGACCTATTCTACCACGGATCCTCATGGGTCGTGTCTATTTGAAAAACAAGGAGATATAGCTGTAAATAAGCAGACAAAATGACCCTGGTGCATGTGTGTGGTTTAATATGATTACACAACGAAACTGAATATCAAAGCAATCAATAAACAACGAAAATCCGACATCAACTTTGAAAAAATAGAAGTTCCATAATGGCGTGCGGCAACCTCTTCACTTACATGCATCGGGGTCACATTTCAACTCCCATGTAGCATTTTTTATTAACTTCGGTAACTGAAAATAACATTTATTTACGAAAGCTGTTATAACAATTGCTTGTAACGGGGCAAGCCCCACAAACCCCCTGTTAATTTTGTGGCTACAAATGGCGACCGAACAACTTTGAAACCGATACTAAGGAAGGAGCTCGCACACACCCCTTACCAAAATGGCGGAAGGTATCCGGTAAAGTGCAATCTTGTGAAAGAAACACCCAACAGTGTGTTCATCTTGCCAATATCTCTGTGTCAGAGCTAAACAGTTACTTATATTGCCTTGCCAAGCATAAACATTGTCAGGATCTCGTTGGAATCGTTTCAAACTTACGTAACCCCAAGCGACAGTCATGTTGTTGGCAATATTCAAGCTCCTTCCCAGCGCGTGACACCTTCGCTGTGAGGAGCTTGGGCAATATTGTTCCAAGGGAGATCACTTTTAGATGTCAAAAACGCCTCGTTATCTCACCACAGCCACGAGCTAATTTGCATATTTCGTGACCTGACTGCTCTCTTGTTTGTAAATGAAAAGCGACAAAACCCTTTCCATATTCATCAATAGTCGATTGTATGATTCCGACTATATCACGAGCATGTGTTTATGAATCACTATCAAATAGAGATCTAGTGATGATGCCAGTTATGGTAAGCGTATCCTGCCCCACCAGTGGTACACGTCACAAGCAAATGCAAAGGCAAGTCAATCGTACATCATATTTTGTTACTGATGCGTCAAATTTATGAAAATGTCCTCCTCTTACCATAATATTTTCGAAAGCTTTACTGGGGCCTTGAATGTTGTAACTCTAGTATGACGCTATTTGAAATCTCGGTTCAAAGAGAATGTTCGATCGTTCCTCAAAAGTTGTGATATGTGACACCGTTTATGTCACTGATGCGTCAAATGTGGAAAGGTCCTCTGCATGTCTATAAACAAAGGCTTTGAAAGCTTTACTGAGGCCTTGAATGTTTTAGAGTCGTATGTCACTCTTGGAAATCTTGGTATAAAGACTATGTTCGATTGTACCTTAAAAGTTTTGAATTTTGGACATCAAGGGCTGGAGCTGCTGGAATATTGCTCGACGTAAAGGGAAAGCTGACCATTGGAATACAGTCTTGTGGAGAGTGTTTTGTCACTCTGATTCTTTATGCATAGATCTAAATATGAAACTGGCCTTCTTTATGTCTAGTTCAGGTGAGTAAATCAGTGGAAGGGAATTGGCGTTTTGATGATTACTGAACAAATTGCTCTAATTCTAAAATCAAATCTGTCTGCATGCGCTATATACATATCCTTACACATCAAAGTGAGGGCTTCTCCAGCTATCCAAGGTCTTCGATGACTGCACGTGGAACCGTAAGGAAATTTCTTTCGTTTGAATCGAATAAAATTGATTCCTCTTCATGCCCAAACCAGATACAGCCAAGCCATAGAGAAAGCAGCTTTAATTTCAGAAGTTGGAGACAGGGTGTTGCGGAAAAGGCTCTTCGCCAATCATCTTACAGTAATATACAACGTCACTGTGGCGTCAGAGCAAGGGAGCTCAGATGGCTATCGGTTGAACCCAGAGGGTTTCGTGGAGGGATACAATAGTCAATAAAATGTGTTATGTGTAGACAATTAAAGGTCTTCGGCTAGTACTGCAGGGGGCGTACAGTGTGTGTTTGTTATTTGTGTCTGGTTTGAGGGTAGGGGAAGAGAACAAGCATTGTAAATATAGGATATAAACGCAAAAGCAAATAGGTTTTTTACGTTTCGGGATATTTTTGAAGAAAAAAAAGAAACAGATGAAAAACATTTTAACTGATTGAACAGACTGCAAGATGTGACGATGTGAGATTTGGCAGAGGTACTATGGGAAGTGGAGAGAGTCGAGCGGCGAACTTTAAAGGAAAATCATATTCGGTCACGTTTTTCACGCGAAATTATGTCCCTTTGCTTCACCGAATCTTTGAGTGTTGCAGTTCCACCTTGGTTACCAACACCGTCATGGCAGCTACATACGTAACAAAACATGTATTCCACACCAGCAAGCATATCGTGGTTCCCACGGAAAATAGATTCTGGACGCTTGCGTCACATCAGGGATTTTTCACTTAACTCTTTGTCAAAAAGTCCCCACTTTTGACCCTCTCGGCATATCCTTAAAGGTACATTATCTAGGATCGGACATATCACGGATGTATGTTAAAAGATTCGTCGCCATATCTAGAACCAAGCCTATCCAGTATTTTTGATCAACTTTAAAATTTGTAAAACATTATCGGAATAAATCTGTGGGTTGCTTGTTGCATTCAATTTCCCATTCAAGAGGAGACCAAAATGTTATTGTTGTGTGAAATGACAAGGCCTTTTAAAATTCAGATTTATGTAAGACTTTGATCTAGGTTATCAAGGCAAACGAAAAGCACACACATGTTGTGCCGAGACAGTAGATACCTCCACTCCTGCCGTCGATATAGGTCGCCCAAGTTGTAGGCCACGTCAACAGCTTACACTAGTTGTCACGAATGTATATGGGTCATAAACATATCTCTATGTGCATGTGTTACTGGTGAGTCGATTCCCATAACGTCACTTGGAACCAAGAGCTGCTTGAATTGCACTCACGTGCCACTGGTTTGTGGAAAAGGTCTTCAGCAACCTATACTTGCCGTAGAAGGCGACTATGCTTGTCGTAAGAGGCCACTAACGGGATCAGGTGGTCAGGCTCCCTGACTTGGTTGATGCATGTCATCGTATCCAAATTGCGTTGATCGGTGCTAATTATTTACAGACAGTCGTCATATAGCTGGAATATTTCTGAGAGCGGTGTTAAACAACAAACAAACTAATGAAATGTTTTATTACGTTCTTCAGTGAATGCATTGGTCGTTGTGCGTGATTTAAACCTGTTGTCATTCAGCAGATGGAATAATAAGTTAACCTTTGTCAGGTTTGAAGGATTTCTTCGTCTCAGATAATGCATGTCCATATCTCCCCTACCAAGCGACTTGGTTGTTCTCTGTGTTGCTGTCTTACGACTGAATGTCCCCAGTCACGAAGGATCTAAGTTTACTGATTCTATCACCTCTAGAGAACACCTCGACATCCCCAACAAACAGGCTCCTCTCAAGATCTGGCTTATATTTGGCCGCTGGTGGGTTGCGGCCGTAAGCAATGGCGACCTCCCTCAGATAGTAGGAGGCGCTGCCACAGCACAGACCTATGTACTGTACGCCCAACTCCCGCGCTTCTGTAGCAAACTGGCGGATCTCGGCCCGGGTACACTGCAGGGGAGCTAACTCTGTCGGGAATGCCTTGCCTCCTGGACAGAAGAATGACATATGCAATTTTACGGAAATATACACGATATGCATGTCAAATGACTCGTTGTGTATATATATATATATATATATATATATATAAAGTTTACATCCCATCCCGTCCGCAAAGGTATAGTGATGATATGCATGTCAAATGACTCGTTGTTATATATATATAAAGTTTACATCCCATCCCGTCCGCAATGGTATTGTGATGATATGCATGTCAAATGACTCGTTGTTATATATATATATATATATATATATATATATATATATATATATATATATATATATTAAAAGTTTACATCCCGTCCGTAATGGTATAGTGATATGGAGGAGGCATATTTCACAAGTTCCAATGAATTAACAACCCATTGCAACAAAAGCACTAACCTGTCACCGGGTCTGTGAGGCACTGGAAGCACTTCTGTTGGGGCGTGGTGCGGAAGGTGACAGGCAGTGCAGCTATAGGACCCTGGACAGTCAGAGAAAACAGTGCAGTATTCACAATAGTGTGGCAAGCCCGATCAAACCCTAAGATATTATCGGTTAGCTAAAATCCTAAATTTAAACAAAAGATGAGAGAATAGACTCTGTTGAAGGACAGTTGATCCAGAAGGGAGGCAAGAGAGACTTACTCTGACAGGGACCATGAATCACCTTACAGGTCTGTCTGATCTGTTGACTCACCTGAGAGACTGTATCATGGACCAAGACTCACCTTACAGGTCTGTCTGATCTGTTGACTCACGAGAGAGACTGTATCATGGACCAAGACTCACCTTACAGGCCTGTCTGATCTGTTGACTCACGAGAGAGTCTGTATCATGGACCAAGACTCACCTTACAGGTGTCTCTGATCTGTTGACTCACGAGAGAGACTGTACCATGGACCAATACTCACCTTACAGGCCTGTCTGATCTGTTGACTCACGAGAGAGACTGTATCATGGACAAAGACTCACCTTACAGGTCTCTCTGATCTGTTGACTCACGAGAGAGACTGTATCATGGACCAAGACTCACCTTACAGGTCTGTCTGACCTGTTGATCCACCAGAGAGAATCTATCATGGACCATGACTTACCTTACAGGTCTGTCTGATCTGTTGACTCACGAGAGAGACTGTATCATGGACCAAGACTCACCTTACAGGTCTGTCTGACCTGTTGATCCACCAGAGAGAATCTATCATGGACCATGACTTACCTTACAGGCCTGTCTGATCTGTTAATCCACCAGAGAGAATCTATCATGGACCATGACTCACCTTACAGCTCTGTCTGATCTGCCTCAGTAGTGGCAACATGGTGGCCGGACCTCTACCACAGTTCAGACCCACGACTGCCGCCCCCTCCTCTTCTAGCCTCCTCAATGCCTGGGGGAAGGGGACGTCGTCTGTGGTTCTGTCCGGCACATACGCCGCCATTGTGATCACAGCAGGAAGACCTGGAGTTATAAACAGTATGATGCCGCATGACTCATCTAAGTATTCGACAAAACACGCCAAAAGGAATTTAATGGTAACTGCTAATATGTCGATGTGATTATGCGTCCGCCAATAAGTAACATATATTATAACGTGCCTTTTCCATACTTCCGGACGGCCTCTAGAGCGAGGCTGGCCTCACTACACGAGTCGAATGTCTCCGCAATAAAGTAGTCCGCCCTCCCCTTCACGGCCCACTCTACTTGTTCCTAGGGAAACGAATACAGTAACATGACATCATTAGGAAAGGAAAATGTCATAATCTTATAATCAGACATGCCATCGAAGTATCCAATACGGTCATCGACAGCATTACCGTAGACAAAACAGATGTGATCTTACGTTCTGTGTGCGTGGTGGGAAGGAGGGGGAGGGAGGGGGGAGGGGGTTGATGGCGGGGGCAGATTATTTTAAAATCACCACAAATTCGATTCTTTGAGACGAGTCGCCAAACCGTTTATTGAACATTCCTTTTATGAACAACAATAATGTCCAATTATCAATGTATTTGACTTAATATATGAGGACAAAGTATTTTTCCAGCATTGCCAGGAACAGATTAATCGTTTTCAAATAAAATAGACGGTCGGCCCCTCACTCTCAGTGGCCCACGAGGAAGTACTTGCACTAAGACTATCTGACAGTAAGACTAATATTATGTTCAGCAAAAGGCCGCGGTATTTCTTCCACAAAGAGATCTTAGCTCTTAGACTAGTGTGATTCCAATACTGTAACATAAAATTAAGGTAAAAAATAGTTTATGATGAATAACCTACTGCCTATGTTGTGTTGTTTGTATTGTTCGTATTGTTCATGGGGAGTTGTTTATTTATTCCAGATCTGAATCAAATTTGGGTAAAAAGTTGTATTGACATTGTAATACACTACATACTTTGAATATGGATTTGACCTCTTCCACAGACTCTGAATTTCCCGGGTCATATATTGTTGTGTTGGAAAGGTTTCCCGCCATTAGTGTTCCCGTTTTGTCAGCAACATCTCGCGCGATCTTCAATGCTGCGAGATTTAAGGCTTCAAGTTCATCTTCTCTTCCAATCATTCGCAGCTTTGCTCGGTGGCCGTAATACTGAAGAAGAGAAACTTTCATTCAACAAACTAGATATAGATACAATGTACAATGTATGGTCGGTGGTCGTGATACTGAAGAAGAGAAACTTTCATTCAACAATTTAGATATAGATACAATGTACAATGTATGGTCGGTGGACGTAATACTGATGAAGAGAAACTTTCATTCAACAATTAAGATATAGATATGGATACAATGTACAATGTATGGTCGTTGGTCGTGATACTGAAGAAGAAACTTTCATTCAACAATTTAGATATAGATACAATGTACAATGTATGGTCGGTGGCCGTGATACTGAAGAAGAAACTTTCATTCAACAATTTAGATATAGATACAATGTACAATGTATGGTCGGTGGTCGTGATACTGAAGAAGAGAAACTTTCATTCAACAATTTAGATATAGATACAATGTACAATGTATGGTCGGTGGCCGTGATACTGAAGAAGAAACTTTCATTCAACAATTTAGATATAGATACAATGTACAATGTATGGTCGGTGGACGTAATACTGATGAAGAGAAACTTTCATTCAACAATTAAGATATAGATATGGATACAATGTACAATGTATGGTCGTTGGTCGTGATACTGAAGAAGAAACTTTCATTCAACAATTTAGATATAGATACAATGTACAATGTATGGTCGGTGGCCGTGATACTGAAGAAGAGAAACTTTCATTCAACAAACGAGATATAGATATAGATACAATGTACAATGTATGGTCGGTGGTCGTGATACTGAAGAAGAGAAACTTTCATTCAACAATTTAGATATAGATACAATGTACAATGTATGGTCGTTGGTCGTGATACTGAAGAAGAAACTTTCATTCAACAAACTAGATATAGATACAATGTATAATGTATGGTCGGTGGCCGTGATACTGAAGAAGAAACTTTCATTCAACAATTTAGATATAGATACAATGTACAATGTATGGTCGGTGGCCGTGATACTGAAGAAGAGAAACTTTCATTCAACAAACGAGATATAGATATAGATACAATGTACAATGTATGGTCGGTGGTCGTGATACTGAAGAAGAGAAACTTTCATTCAACAATTTAGATATAGATACAATGTACAATGTATGGTCGGTGGCCGTGATACTGAAGAAGAGAAACTTTCATTCAACAAACTAGATATAGATACAATGTACAATGTATGGTCGGTGGTCGTGATACTGAAGAAGAGAAACTTTCATTCAACAATTTAGATATAGATACAATGTACAATGTATGGTCGGTGGACGTAATACTGATGAAGAGAAACTTTCATTCAACAATTAAGATATAGATATGGATACAATGTACAATGTATGGTCGTTGGTCGTGATACTGAAGAAGAAACTTTCATTCAACATTTAAGATATAGATACAATGTACAATGTATGGTCGGTGGCCGTGATACTGAAGAAGAGAAACTTTCATTCAACAAACTAGATATAGATACAATGTACAATGTATGGTCGGTGGTCGTGATACTGAAGAAGAGAAACTTTCATTCAACAATTTAGATATAGATACAATGTACAATGTATGGTCGGTGGCCGTGATACTGAAGAAGAGAAACTTTCATTCAACAAACTAGATATAGATACAATGTACAATGTATGGTCGGTGGTCGTGATACTGAAGAAGAGAAACTTTCATTCAACAATTTAGATATAGATACAATGTACAATGTATGGTCGGTGGTCGTAATACTGAAGAAGAGAAACTTTCATTCAACAAACTTGATATAGATACAATGTACAATGTATGGTCGGTGGTCGTGATACTGAAGAAGAGAAACTTTCATTCAACAATTTAGATATAGATACAATGTACAATGTATGGTCGGTGGACGTAATACTGATGAAGAGAAACTTTCATTCAACAATTAAGATATAGATATGGATACAATGTACAATGTATGGTCGTTGGTCGTGATACTGAAGAAGAAACTTTCATTCAACAATTTAGATATAGATACAATGTACAATGTATGGTCGGTGGTCGTGATACTGAAGAAGAGAAACTTTCATTCAACATTTAAGATATAGATACAATGTACAATGTATGGTCGGTGGCCGTGATACTGAAGAAGAGAAACTTTCATTCAACAAACTAGATATAGATACAATGTACAATGTATGGTCGGTGGTCGTGATACTGAAGAAGAGAAACTTTCATTCAACAATTTAGATATAGATACAATGTACAATGTATGGTCGGTGGACGTAATACAGATGAAGAGAAACTTTCATTCAACAAACTAGATATAGACACAATGTACAATGTATGGTCGTTGGTCGTGATACTGAAGAAGAAACTTTCATTCAACAATTTAGATATAGATACAATGTACAATGTATGGTCGGTGGTCGTGATACTGAAGAAGAGAAACTTTCATTCAACAATTTAGATATAGATACAATGTACAATGTATGGTCGGTGGTCGTGATACTGAAGAAGAGAAACTTTCATTCAACAATTTAGATATAGATACAATGTACAATGTATGGTCGGTGGCCGTGATACTGAAGAAGAGAAACTTTCATTCAACAAACTAGATATAGATACAATGTACAATGTATGGTCGGTGGACGTAATACTGATGAAGAGAAACTTTCATTCAACAATTAAGATATAGATATGGATACAATGTACAATGTATGGTCGTTGGTCGTGATACTGAAGAAGAAACTTTCATTCAACAATTTAGATATAGATACAATGTACAAAGTATGGTCGGTGGTCGTGATACTGAAGAAGAGAAACTTTCATTCAACATTTAAGATATAGATACAATGTACAATGTATGGTCGGTGGTCGTGATACTGAAGTAGATAATAAACTATAATGAAAACATCCGGCCTGTGGTTCAAGCCAAGGTTAAGGAAACTCAAAAGCAGTAGAACCCTACACGTATTGAAGTACCTATTGAGTAACACCATGTACTTCGCATGATAAACGGGGAATTAAGGGAAGTAAACAATCTCAAGAACAGAATATACGATGTACATTGACGGAGACACACAAACACGGCTTAGTCAGCAACAAGTATCACCGTAAAGGCCTCCACAACGTCACTTCCGGCATGGACAAATTCTTCATGGAGGTTTCGGACTCTTTCTGGATGATCCATAACCACTTCCGGTGTGAAGACTCCGGATCTGAGGTAACCTCTTCTCTCCAGCTCCCACAAGTATCCCTCCGCACAGATGACGTTCTCGCCATCTCGTAGTCTCTCCACCAAACCTTTCACTTGAAATATGAAAATAATGTAAATGTGACACAAAAGACGACACAAAGGTCGAGAAAGACTTTCTTGTGAGGGATTAACAACATAGCATCACCGCCGACGATATCGACCCCAGGCCTGTTTTGCCCCTGAGGTCGTATGCGTACAGTTATACTCAACCTCTTCTGAAACCAATATAGTGAAGAAACCCACCCAGTGTGAACCACATAACCGTGTCAATTGTACAAGTTTGTTTGGTTCTGCCCAGCAAATTGGTCCTTATACACCCACGGGGAGAACAAGGACAAGTTTATAATATGTGTTGAAAGATTTCCCCATTGCCAAAATGAAATGGTCTTTTGAAGAATCGTGTCTGTGCAAATGTCAATCTTTGAGTAGCAGACAATAGATAAATCATCGGCGGTGGAGTTCCGAATCCATACAAAAGATGACACTACCGTTTTACAAAGCTGCTAATAACACCAGCTCATTTTGTTGCAACCCTTTAATTCATTCAGCCGATTCTTACAAAAGTTTGCACATCGGTTTTTCATCTGTGCTGAGCTGCGATCCACAGTTGTAGGTTAAACTAAGATTAAACTGTCAGATTTGAAGGAGTAAGCATAAACTCCGAAACGTTGTGCGCCTCATGATGGAGAAGTTGACATCCATAAATTCGCTCTCTTACATGTAGATATATATTATTATTAGCAGTCCGACGTAGCGGTGCAGGAAAAATGCTGATCTCGGTGAAAACGAGCACTCACTGACCCACTCTTTCACTTATCACAATGTTCAGGCTAGAGTCCTTGATATAGCTGCCCTAAATGGAGATCTGACCTAGATGCTGATATTGGGTAAGGCAACTGCCGTAATGCCTGTAAATATCATACCAGCATTTGTGGTTCTGTCAATATATTACTGTCTTTCACTTTCGTCAACCTGCATTTCTATAGATCACTGATATACATGGTCCGTTCCTTAAATAGCTGGACTTTTTTAAAGCCGACGTTATCTACCCTAGGCCTGCTCTGCCCTTGAGGGTCATATACGTACATTTGCACTCTACCCCAGCAACCATTTTGGTGAAACTAAATATGATGAAAAAAAACTTGACGTTTATTTATCAGTGGGTTTGCTCCAGCGCAGGAAATTAATTTTCATATTTGTATTTCCCCATCAGACTCAAGGAGGGTCAGTTTTCAATGAATCTTCATCAGTGAGTGAGTGAGTGGTTTTACGCCGCTTTTAGCAATATTCCAGCAATATCACGGCGGGTGACACCAGAAATCGGCTTCACACATTGTACCCATGTCGGGAATCGAACCCGGGTCTTCGGCGTGACGAGCGAACGCTTTAACCACCAGGCTACCCGACCACCCCTCTTCACCAGTGAAAACCCAGACCTCCAGACGCACCTGTGAGGAACACCCATACATGTATGTCTGAACCGGTATATCCCTGTCCCCGAAAACAGCCCGTGACGTCCACTGTATAATCCGCCCACCCGACTAGTCGATGCCAGACAACATCTATCCGTTCACTTTAACAGGGAAATCATTGGTATATTTGGTAAGTTGGCAGCCGTTTCAGGTATCGTAACAATGAACATAGAAATAGAGTATATTCGGTAGGTATTCGCCCAGATAACCCAAACACATCATTACAAAGGTTCAGATCTGTGACTCGATTGTCCACGTCCAAATTATTGTTTAAAATCCAAAGCTCAACTGCGTAAACAGTTTTGACATTTTCTAGTACTTATCAACCCAGTGTTTGCCTTTTATCCCTTGCTATGCATGCTAGGTGGCGCTCTACTGTTAATACACAACATGCTAGGTGGCGCTCTACTGTTAATACTCAACACGCTAGGTGGCGCTCTTCTGTTAATACACAACACGCTAGGTGGCGCTCTACTGTTAATACACAACATGCTAGGTGGCGCTCTACTGTTAATACTCAACACGCTAGGTGGCGCTCTTCTGTTAATACACAACATGCTAGGTGGCGCTCTACTGTTAATACTCAACACGCTAGGTGGCGCTCTTCTGTTAATACACAACATGCTAGGTGGCGCTCTTCTGTTAATACACAACATGCTAGGTGGCGCTCTACTGTTAATACTCAACACGCTAGGTGGCACTCTTCTGTTAATACACAACATGCTAGGTGGCGCTCTACTGTTAATACTCAACACGCTAGGTGGCGCTCTTCTGTTAATACACAACATGCCAGGTGGCACTCTTCCGTTAATACTCCACATGATGATGATGATGATGATGATGATGATGATGATGAAAGTATATTTATAACGCGCTACTTTCCATATACAAAATGTATGCTCAAAGCGCCACAATGTCAATTACTTAATTTACAATGTGTACATAGCAGTAGGAGCAACTACGAGCGTATGTCAAGAATTCATACGTCGTAGTTCTTTCGGTAAAGGCGTGTAATCAATTTCTGGAAGTAGTCCAGGCTAATTTCTAGCGGGAGTTCATTCTAGAGAATTACTGCGCTGAAGCTAAAAGATCTCTTGCCAAAAGAGTTTAGTTTCCTCTCGAGGAGAGTAGTACATGTTTGTCAGCAGATCGTAAGGCTCTTATCCCAGGTGGCGCTCTTCTGTTAATACACCACATGTTAGATGGCACTCTTCTGTTAATACACCACATGTTAGGTGGCACTCTTCTGTTAATACACCACATGCAAGGTGACACGTCTGTTAATACACCACATGCAAGGTGTCTCTTCTGTTAATACACCACATGTTAGGTGGCACTCTTCTGTTAATACACCACATGTTAGGTGGCGCTCTTCTGTTAATACACCACATGCAAGGTGACACTTCTGTTACCACACCACATGCAAGGTGACACTTCTGTTAATACACCACATGCAAGGTGACACTTCTGTTACCACACCACATGCAAGGTGACACTTCTGTTAATACACCACATGCAAGGTGACACGTCTGTTACCACACCACATGCAAGGTGACACTTCTGTTAATACACCACATGCAAGGTGACACGTCTGTTACCACACCACATGCAAGGTGACACTTCTGTTAATACACCACATGCAAGGTGACACGACTGTTACCATACCACATGCAAGGTGACACTTCTGTTAATACACCACATGTTAGGTGGCGCTCTTCTGTTAATACACCACATGCAAGGTGACACTTCTGTTACCACACCACATGCAAGGTGACACTTCTGTTAATACACCACATGCAAGGTGACACGTCTGTTACCACACCACATGCAAGGTGACTTCTGTTAATACACCACATGCAAGATGACACTTCTGTTACCACATCACATGTAAGGTGACACGTCTGTTACCACACCACATGCAAGGTGACACTTCTGTTAATACACCACATGTTAGGTGGCGCTCTTCTGTTAATACACCACATGCAAGGTGACACTTCTGTTACCACACCACATGCAAGGTGACACTTCTGTTAATACACAACATGTAAGGTGACACTTCTAATAATACACCACATGCAAGGTGACACGTCTGTTACCACACCACATGCAAGGTGACACTTCTGTTACCACACCACATGCAAAGTGACACTTCTGTTACCACACCACATGCAAGGTGACACTTCTGTTAATACACCACATGCAAGGTGACACTTCTGTTACCACACCACATGCAAGGTGACACTTCTGTTAATACACCACATGCAAGGTGACACGTCTGTTACCACACCACATGCAAGATGACACTTCTGTTAATACACCACATGTTAGGTGGCGCTCTTCTGTTAATACACCACATGCAAGGTGACACTTCTGTTACCACACCACATGCAAGGTGACACTTCTGTTAATACACCACATGCAAGGTGACACGTCTGTTACCACACCACATGCAAGGTGACACTTCTGTTAATACACCACATGCAAGGTGACACGTCTGTTACCACACCACATGCAAGGTGACACTTCTGTTAATACACCACATGTTAGGTGGCGCTCTTCTGTTAATGCACCACATGCAAGGTGACACTTCTGTTAATAAACGTTACTTACTTACTTATATTGGAGATGTTACGTGTGCTTTCCGACTGCAAGCGCATGACGCACACGCGCCCGCCAGGCCATTAAATGTGTTTCCGAAAGGGGGGAAAGGAAGTGGTGGTGCAACCCAGGAGGGGGGTTTAAGGGTTGCTTATATAGTAATTGTGAGATTTTGAAATTTGGAATGAATGCCAAGAGTGGGTAGGGGACGAACTAAAGGAGCTATGTGATTTTGGTTTTATGAGTTTATTTGGGGTTTAAATGCGACTAATTAGTCCTGTTTTAATTAAGAATATGCCTAAGGCTTTGAATTTTTCTAATTTATTTTATGGATTTAGGATTGGTTCTAGAGTAAGTGCAGTATTAAGATTTAGGGTGGTTTGTAGTGTTGTTCGGTGTGTTTGGTAGTGTGTGCAGTGAATGAGTACATGTTCTGGTGTTTCTTGTTGTTTGCAATGTGGGCAGTTTCCTGTTGCGTGTAGTTTAGCTATTTTAAGGTGGTTATTTACTTTGGTGTGGCCTGTTTGTAGTTTAGTGATTATTCTATCGATTTTTTTTGATGGGTGTAGTATTTATGGTTAGTTAGTTGTGTTTTAAGAACTTTTCTAATTTGGCTATTTGAGTTTAGGTATATATTTTGCCATTTTTTGGTGTTTTTTTGTTTAGTGACACTTTTAATTTCTGATTTTGAGATAGGTAGGTTTAAGCTTATTTCTGGGAGTTAAAGGGATAATTTGGCTGCTTTATCGGCGTTTTCATTGCCAAAGATTCCTACGTGGGCGGGGATCCAAATGAATTCTATTTGTTTGCCTGCCATAGTCGTTTGAGCTTTAGAGTATTTGGTTTATTAGTTTGGGGCGGTTTTTTGTGTTTTTAGTTTTGAGGGCTTGCTGTCCACTGAGGGAGTCGGTTAGAATAAGGATTTTGGGGTTTTTTTAGATTGCTGATTTGTAGGACTGAGGCCATGCCCATAAGTTCGGCCGTGAATATGGATTGTTGTTTGGGAGTCGGTAGGATTGGGTGATTTTAGTTGGTTGTGCGATGTGGACTCCGAAGCCTGTGTGTTTGGAGATCGGATCTGAGGATCCGTCTGTGTATATGTGACACCAATTTGGCTAATTTTCGTGTATGTATGCTAGTGTGGTGGTTTTAGCGATGTTAGGGTCAGTCTGTTTATTTAGTGTATTGGCTAGTGTTGTGTCTAGCTAAGGTATTTTAAGTGTTTGGGGTGAAGATATTTGATTGTTTACTGTTTTGTTTGAGATTACTTATTTTGTGTTCTTTTAGGTAATTGATTATTATTTGGGTTATTGGAGTAAGCAGTGGATGTTTCCGGGCTAGGGCTTGGTTTCTGGCGCTAATATTGTTGTTTATTATGTTTTGGATTAGAGGGTTTGATTGGGACGCGGCCCAGAAGTTTAGGGTTAGTTATTCCCTACGTAGTTTAAGTGGCATTTCTCCTGTTAAGGCCTGGAGTGATGTGCTGGAGGTGCCATGTTGAGTTCGTGTGATTAGTTTTAGAGCCTAAAACTGGTTTGAGTCTAGTTTTTTAATGAGAGAGCTGTTTAGGGTGTTGTAAATGGAACAGCCGTAGTCTAGTTTAGATCTAATTAGTGATATATAGAGTGAGAGGAGGGTGTCCTTGGAGGCCCCCCAGTTGGAGCCGGTTAGGCATCTTAGCGTATTTAGATCTTTGCTGCATTTGGTTATTAGGTTTTTAATGTGTGCATTCCCAGGTAAGATGTTCAACGAAGATTAATCCTAGAAATTTTGTTTGTTTTTGAAATTTGATTTGTTTGTTGTTTAGTTTGAGATTTTGGGAGGCGGGTTGCATATTTTTGTGTTTAAATACTATTCCTGTTGTTTTTTCCGAGTTTAGGGAGAAGCCCCATTTGTCTGCCCATTGCTGTATTTTATTTAGAGATTTTTTAAGTAAGTTTTGGGCCATTTTGATGCTTTTAGTGCGGATCCAGTGGGCTCCATCATCCGCAAATGTTTACTCGGGGGGGGTGGGGGGTGGGGTAATCCCTCGAAAACGTCGTTGATCATAATATTGAAGAGTGTGGGGCTTAGGATGCTGCCCTGGGAAGTGCCATTTTCTAGGGGACATTGGTCCGATAGAGTTTGGTCTATGCCCACGGTGATTTTGCGGTTTGTAAAGAAACTTTGAATGTAGTTTATGATCTGACCTTTAAGTCCTATTTTTTGTAGTTTTTTGTATTAGCGTGTGCCAAACCATGTCGAATGCTTTTGAGAAGTCTAGAAAGATGCCTGTAGTATATTGTTTGCTGAGTTGGCCTGTTTTAATGGCCTGCTCTAATCGGGCAAGGTTATCTAGGGTTGAGCGGCCAGGAGTGAAACCGCTTTGGTCTGGATTGATTATGTTTTTTTGTTCTAAATAGTATTGTCGCCTGTTTTTTTGCCATTGCTTCCATTACTTTGCATAAGTTAGAAGTTAGGGAAATTGGTCTGTATGAGTTAGCCTGGTCAGCTGGTTTGTTTGGTTTGGGGATCGGTATGACCATAGCTTGTTTCCAAGGTGATGGGACCTGTCCGTTTAGATATATGAGGTTATAGAGTTTTAGAAGAGTTTGTAGTAGTTTGGGGGTTAGTTGTTTAATTATCTGGTAGGGAGTGAGATTAAAGCCTGGGGCTGTGCCCTTTTTCCTATTTTTGAGGACGTGGAGTAGTTCTTCCATTGTGTATGGGGGATTTATTTCTAGGTTATTATCTTTTGGTTCTTTGGTAAATTTGGTTTCTGATTTTAGTTGTTCCTGGAATTTTAGGTTGAAGTTGCTGTTACTACTGACGGCCGAAAAGTGGTTTGCTAGGTTATTTGCTTTTTGAGAGGGGTTGGTTGAATTGTTTATGTTGGGAGGTTTTTTATGACGTTTAATGCCCCTAATGGCGTGGATTTTGCGCCAGACCGTTCTGGCGTCCGTGTGGCGATTAAATTCTTCGCAGAACGTTTTCCAATTTCTTGTTTTAGCTGTTTTGACTAGGCTTTGTACTTGGTGGTTTAGTTCGTGTTCTATTTTTAGATGTTTGAAGTCACGTTTGGCTTTATTGAATGCGGTTTTGCGTTTACGTCTAGTTTGTTCTATTTCTTCGTTCCACCACGGAACCGTAGGTTTGCCTATTTTAGTTGTGGAAAAGTGGATGGAGCTTTTGGCTGCGTTGATTATATAGTCTGTTAGGTTTTTGCGATATGTTTCGAGGTCGTTACTTTCTATATCCTCTAGATTAGCCTGGTTGCAGATTTCCTGAAATTTGTCCCAGTTTTGGTTCCTGGTTTTGAGTTGGTGTTGGGATGTTTAAGTCTTCTATAGTTATATATATGGGGAAGTGGTCACTGCCTAAAGGTACTCCGTGTACATCCCATTGAATGCTTTGGGCTAGATCTGGGGTGCATATAGTTAGGTTGATAGCCGACATTGTGTGGTGGATTTTGCCGTATCTAGTGGTTTGGCTGTTATTTTGAAGTATTAAATCGTTTTCTTCTATCCATTCTGAGATTAGTTTGCTATGTTTATCTAATTTGTCAGCAATGCTCCAGGTGGTGGACATTGAAGTCTCCAAGGAAGATTGTTGATTTATTTCCTATTTAGATGAGCGTGTCTAGATCCTCTGATTTAACTTGTTTTTCTGCCCAGTGGTATATATATATTTATTTACTTTGTTTTTGATTGTAATTTGGATGCCATTTGCTTCTAAGTTTGGTGTGTTTATTTTGATTTCTTCGTAATTTCGTAATACACGGCTTAGTTCTTGGTCTTATACAAGACGCACAGACACAGCGGCCTTTAGACTAACATCTAGTCTCTGAAATGAACATATCGTACAGAAAAAACAGTTGTTCAGTTGTCTTAATAAAAATATAATAAAAGGGAGCCCAGTGACTCTCTTTATTTTCAGATACTGCAGTAATCTAGACTTGCCAAACATTATAGACTTGCATGGGCTGTATTTGATATGTATTTGTATCAGGGTCTGTAAGACAGATTAAGAGGCCTCCTGCCACATAGGGACCCCAGAGCGCGGAGATGAGGTAGGAATACTCTTGTACAAACCGACTGGAGTGTGCATTGTTGTGATGAGGAATCCTCATTATCACCGTCATGAGCAAAGCGTGTTGTTATTCTTGTGATGATAAATGCATCGCAGCCTTTGCACATCAGTAACATATTTCAAACTATTTTTGAAAAAGACAACAGAAAACTACCAGTTTCAGCGCAACTGAGCAACTACTCTAAAATCAACGGGATATGTTCACGAAAACACAAAACTAACCACTGCCATATGTCCCAACCCTTTTCTTACCATACGTGTTACATGCGGAGTGGATGAATTGTCTTATTCAGTTAAGCAGACCCATCACTCCCCAACGCTATTGCCTTGTAACTGAATCCAGCACTATATTCACGAGTTAGTGATAACTGAGATAAATGCATGAATAAATACATACTATAAACGATAATTGGGTACAATGTTCAATGTAGACCCGTTACACTAGAAACACGCTCAGCGAGAATCCCACTTTCGTCTCCCCATAACAATAACGATGAGGTCTTACTAGAATAAAAACAGAAATGTTGATGAATTGCACAATAAGCCGTAGTCTGTAATCATCCTACAGGTGTTAACCTGATGGGGCATTGGCGGTCTGATCTGACTTACCTGTCGATGCCATGCTGACATACAATCTGTGTCTCTCTCCACCAGACACAACACTCCTTCTGATTCTGTGTGCTGCCACCCCTGTGTGATAATGGTATGTCCCAGGTCACTCGGTTAGGCGTGTCGTTTTCTGGTCACTGTTTACTCAGTTACACAATCTACAGTTTGATATAATCATCAGAGGTGAGGTGAAATGGGGTTTAACGTCGCGTCCAAGATTACTGTGTGTGGCTGCTTGTACTTGTCCGGACTGATGTTCCAAAAAACGTAAATGAGATATATTTTTATTAAACGAAAGACCACGGTGCAAACTAATTCTCATCTGTGCTGAGCTGCGATCCACAGTTGTAGGTTAAACTAAGATTAAACTGTCAGATTTGAAGGAGTAAGCATAAACTCCGAAACGTTGTGCGCCTCATGATGGAGAAGTTGACATCCATAAATTCGCTCTCTTACATGTAGATATATATTATTATTAGCAGTCCGACGTAGCGGTGCAGGAAAAATGCTGATCTCGGTGAAAACGAGCACTCACTGACCCACTCTTTCACTTATCACAATGTTCAGGCTAGAGTCCTTGATATAGCTGCCCTAAATGGAGATCTGACCTAGATGCTGATATTGGGTAAGGCAATTGCCGTAATGCCTGTAAATATCATATCAGCATTTGTGGTTCTGTCAATATATTACTGTCTTTCACTTTCGTCAACCTGCATTTCTATAGATCCCTGATATACATGGTCCGTTCCTTAAATAGCTGGACTTTTTTAAAGCCGATGTTATCTGCCCTAGGCCTGCTCTGCTCTGTCGATGCCATGCTGAGGTACAATCTTATATAGCGACGTGCATGCACGGGTGTGTGTGGCTGCTTGTACTAGTCCGGGCTGATGCCGATTTATAATGCTAGCACACTGAGGTACCATGCCGCAGTTTAACATGAATACCCCACTCACTGACTCCGAGCCGACCAGTCCTTTTTTAGCCCCCTTAATGCCGAGCGCCAGACACGGTAACAACAAGTATCTTTTAACGTCTTTTAGTATGACGCAGCCGGGGATCCGGCCGGACGCTCTACCACTAGACCACGGAGGGGGTCTAATTATCATAGAGAATACCTTCCTGAATAACCCGTTGGGATATTCACAATAACAATAAAATGGCAAAACAATAGCTGTGTCTGCACTATTACAGAAAGCACGAAATGTGAACTTACTCTTTGTGGTATGGTAATATTTCAGTGCAGCCTTAAGAGTCTCTCAAACTTCCACGGACAAATGAATAAACAAATGAATTAATAAAAGAATGAATCAATAAATGAAGGAAGGAAGCAAGCAAATACTGTAAAGAATCTGTTTTCTTTTCCCCATTTTGACTACTCCAACTTCACCTAGACAGTCACCGAACCATGAACAATATGTATTGAAACTAATTCAAAATGGGAAGTAGTTATAATGGAAAGACACTAGTTTCAGTTGATTATGTGAAAAATGTAATTTAAACACGCCCCTTCGTTGTAACGGCCGAACTCCTTCACCGCGAGACTACCCACACCGTCCCTGTTTTGGGTCTGATTTCCTCGCGGACTCAGTTTAAACTTTTCATCTCTTAGACGATGTTGTTCAATGTATCAAGGAGAATTATAAGAGACAGTGTTGTCTCATTTTTTCTGTACACTCAAGTTTCCAATAATATCGTCGGTAAGTCGGGATATCTGACAGTATGTGTTCTAACGCGACCACATCTGGAGAACATGGTTACGTTCAGCGATCCAGACATCAGACAGACAGACAGACAGTGGTATAACTGTGCTTGGTTCACTGTGCTCCTACAATAGACATTGTGATGTGCCTAGTTCTACACACTGATGTTGTTCCTTATCCTACACCACTGCGCCATGACGCGGCAGGTTGTTCTTTTGTTTGTTGTTTCACGCCGCTCTCGGCAATATTCCAGCTTTTTGTCGGCGGTCTGTGAATAATAGTCTGGACCAGACAATCCAGTGATTGACATGATGAGTATCGATCTACGCAACTGGGATACGATGACATGCATCAACCATGTCAGCGAGCCTTACGACACGAATGGGACCAATTCTAACCCGGAATCTTCTTGGGGCGCGTGACAGATGGTGTAGCGGGAAGTGTACATAGCACAGTCCTGGCTTCGACCCAAACACTCACTCACTAACTTAACTCTGGTGATACTACTTAATATGAATGAAATTTTAGTTACGTCTACATTTCCACTGTCAAACAATTCTAAATTAAGAGTGTTTGAGCAAGGAAGTACAGCGAATATATACTCTTCACAAAAAGAAACGCAATACGGACAATTTGGGCTATAAAAGCAAAATTAGCGGACCAAGATGTGCAAAATGAAGAGGTTTAGTGTGTTATGGTGTCAGTGACAAATTTCCCGGATCAAAATGCAAAGCTTTCGTTCTACTCCGCGCGTCACAATTACGGTATCATCTCGCTCATTGTGACGCCAAAAATATGACGTCACTGTCGTACATAGAAAAGCACCAAATTCCAAACTCTCTGTTCTCCCCAAAATTTAGAATACATTCTCTTTGTAGTTTCTATAGTGTTTTCTGCACGAAATGTATTACCACACAACCTTTGAATATTGTAGTAATTTTGCATTTTGTAACATATAATTGTAGATATAATTATATAAGTATTCCTACCGACAATGACTGAAAAAAGCTGCCGACAAACCTCAATCAGAGGGGGGTTTATTGTGATTTGACAACTTCTGATTGATCCATCACAATCGAGTAATCGGGTGTCGGATAGTGGTGTACAAAGTTGAAAAAATATGTTTAGACAGGGTTGAACTTTGGTTCTGTTCTGAGTTGCAAAAAGTCAAGCAAATCCTTTGAGTTTTTGAGAATCCACATGGTATATAAAACCACTTGTCTCACATGTTATGTGAATAAGAAGAAATTGCTTCCTTTAAACATGGAGTTGGTGGTACATTTGCTCTCTTTGTACGAATTTTTATGGAGCTTTAGAATCCATCACGAAAGAAAAATGGACATGTCTTCAGGTTTTAGGGTCAAGTCAAAAGTTCCTAGTACTGATGCATGGTTTGGGCAAATGAACATGCTGGGCTTATGTAGGGCATTATTTCATATGTCATTTTGTTTATAAAACTATAATGTGGTGATGCTTACATATTATGGTGATGATATTTGAGGCCCTGTCAGGGAGAACCACTGCAAACTTTTCCTGTAGGACAGCCCGACCTTGGATGACAGCTGGCTGGGACAGAATGGACGTATTGCAGCGTTTTCCACTTTTTCTGTTTGTGCATGTTGTGAACATGTACACATGTTGTAATTAATAGTGTCATAAACAATACGAATATAAACATGTTATGATTAATAGTTATAACAATAAAAAGGAACAAAAATATTATAATTAATACTGTACTTACAAAATAAATATTATCATGTTACAATTAATTGTGTAGTAAACAATTCAAACTTGAAACATGTTATAATTAATAGTGTCCCACACAACATTAACATTATTTTAGTCAATATAACACCTGTTGTCAAATGTGGGAGAAATTCACAAGTACGGGTATTATTCTGCCAAACCAATAAACGTAAAAGGGGCATATTTCGACCCATGATGTTAAGATCCAGGCACCAGTGAGGACAAAAAAAGACGTGAATTTGAAAAAAACGAGTCATTTCTGAGACATGCCATTATAAAAAAACAGATTCCTCGTCATAACAGTATTTATATTTATGAAAAGAAACAAAATTCAAGAGAGAATTATTTGTTTAGAAATCTACTAGCTATCCAAATAACGAAGCAGGATTTAGTCAACCACACACCTATGGGGAAAATGCCTTTTCATCACCGTTCCATGAATTTTCGAGCAAGGAAAGTCAACTTTATTTGTCAATTATATTGTAAAACACAAGAATAGCTTCAATATTGTTGAGTAAGCGGAAATATATAAACTCTCACTAACTTGTAACCTTTATATCACAATGAAATGACAGCATCACAATATTCAAAACATGAATATAAGTTTACATTGCGGTACATTTTTAGGCGAACATAACGTTTCAGTCGCTTATAACAATTGTCACTGTTTGAATAACGAAGATACAGGTGTTAATTCAAGCCTTGTTATCGTTCACCAAACTTTCTACAAGTCATCTTCTAATCTTGAATGTTTAGTTTGTTTTACAATTACTGTCTTTTGCCTAATGTACAGAAATACGGTTTTCTAATGGCGAATAAAACGTGTTGCAACGTTGCCAAAACCCTCTATCATATGATATCCCGCCGTCACGTATTAATAGATTAGAGATGGAAATGTATATCTAGTGTCTCATAGACTTGATGATTTCTTTCGTGCATATGTTAAAGAGATATTTTTAACTTTTATGTGAAGAAAGGTATTGCTTCATATTGTATATGACCCGTGAAGATCCGGGGTAGAATAGGTCTTCAGAAACCCATGCTTGCCCTAAAAGGCGACTATGTTTGTCGTATAAGGCGAGTAACGGGATCGGGAGACATGCTCGCTGACTTGGTTGATGCATGTCATTGTATCACATTATATCGATGCTCATGATATCAATCACTTGACTGTCTGGTCCAGACTATTATATACAGACCGCCGTCATTAAGCTTGAATATTGCCGAGAGCGGCGTTAAACAACAAACAAACAGTACCAGAGTATACCTTCAGTATTATAGTATTTGTACCTTCAGTACTATAGTATGTGTACCATCAGTACCAGAGTGTGTACCGTCAGTACCAGAGTGTGTAATACCTCAGTAGGTGTTATGGACTTCTGCCTTGCTAATGATAACGAAAGTGGGAGCTTATTGTGGGAGCTGTGTTAACAAAGGATCCAAGGGATCCAGTGTCACAAGGGTCAAAGTTCGCTTTGTGACGGTGCCTGTCTGCCGTCGCTATCACTGCCCCTGGGAGTGTTCCTGACCCACACACCAAGTGTTGATGCCAGTACTGGAATACACACTGCCACGAGTCATGATGAGTCAACACATTATCTCGCAATAAGCATGACTTGCACAAATTTACTCTCTCGTACAAACATTACCGTATTCTTTCTACATAATCAATGCAACAATTGGGTAGAGTATTTATTGTAACAGATATTTGAGAATCACAGAAAGGTTACGGTTAATAATCCATCTGTACCTGTTACTCTTTTGGCATTCACGAAATAATGGCTTAGGTGACTCTTTCACTGTACCAACATCTAGCCATGCCTCCATCTCAGTGTGCCTCCATCTTATTGTGCCTCCATCTCACTGTGCCTCCATCTCACTTTGCCTATATCTCAGTGTGCCTCCATCTTATTGTGCCTCCATCTCACTGTGCCTCTATCTCACTTTGCCTATATCTCATTGTGCCTCCATCTCATTGTGCCTCCATCTCACTGTGCCTCCATCTCACTTTGCCTACATCTCACTGTGTCTACATCTCATTGTGCCTCCATCTCACTGTGCCTCCATCTCATTGTGCCTCCATCTCACTGTGCCTACATCTCACTGTGCCTCCATCTCATTGTGCCTCCATCTCACTGTGCCTCCATCTCATTGTGCCTCCATCTCACTGTGCCTACATCTCACTGTGCCTCCATCTCATTGTGCCTCCATCTCACTGTGCCAACATCTCACTGTGCCTCCATCTCATTGTGCCTCCATCTCATTGTGTCCACATCTCATTCTGCCCACATCTCGTTATGCCTCCATCTCACTGTGTCTACATGATATTTTCACTACAGTCGAATGTGCCACTCGTAGACATACAAGAGATATCTCGCTAGCTTGATCGTTGTATTGTGTTGAGATAATGCACATACCGAATATTACAGAAAACGTCAACGCCAAAGATAACCATTCTCGATCATCCGCCGAAACAGTTCCACTTGGCGTTAAAGGCAAAATAGCCGTGAAACTTATATGAATGGATCACTGAAACAATTATATAGTTCATATGTGGATTTTGGGGAAGAAACAATTTTCGTTTTTCTCCATATACCATAAACCGTAAAGAGCAACGAAGAACGAAGCGTGGTTCATTTGACGATAAAACATTGTTCTGTCATTACGTCTTTTCTGGAGATTCGAACATGCACGAGCGGTTGGTGTCTAGTGAGTTGTTCCCCGTAGATGTAGCTGGGCAACGTCGATTAACGCAACGGCCAAACAATCGCATCCAAAAGTAGGATAGGTGACAATCGGTATTAGGTGAAAAGGTACAGATAATCGACTTGCAAATTATGAGAATATGCGGGAACGACCAAATGAACCGCTATCCCGACCACCATCCCTACCACCCCTTTTCATAAAATGGACTTGTCATACATTGCCGACGTGGGATTCTTTCCAATGAGTCATCATTATTCAAATACGGGTAAATATTTTCTAACCTTGTACATAATAGTAACATCCTAAAAGAGGCTGTACATAATATTGATATCTCATAAAAGAAATAAACGACTCGTGGTCGTTGTTTATCGTACAAAACACAACAGGGAGAATACACCATGTCGGGCGCAGTTTAAATATAAAACATGATCGTCTTCTCCGGGTGCCTGGCATCCTTTTACATAAAGCATCGTTATCAGTAATAATTAACACCTCAGTGATTATTAATTATTGTGCCCAGTTCTTAACCAGTTAATAATTCACCTATACACAAGAGAATGTATTTCATGTAGGTAAATAGCACCATTCATCAGTGATGTAGAATTGATGTACATTTCTAAGGATGCTCTATTTGTACACAGCCCTCCAGTCCTAAGCAGAATCATCATTGACACTTTTGTGTAACAGTCTGTCATCACCTGTGCGAATATACAGAACCAAAACAGAATACATTTATAACATGACACGGCGGGGTCTGTTAGCAACAGATAATGACATTTTATCACATGAATGTGGAAACCTATCGGGAGGAAGATTCAGTTCACACCGCCATTACATTATATATTTACATAGATATACACCAGATGATGGATATATTCCAGCTCCTCCACTCGCGACACAGTTGGATTACCTTTACCCTATTCTCAACATAAATGTACAATATGTTCTATGGATTTATTCCTAATAATCTTATATGTCCCCTTACCTTTAAAATGACACATTATTCTTATAAAAAATCGGGAACATTCGCTACAAATACATCATACCTTTTGAGATGGGATTTCGCTGGACACAGAACCATATTTGTTTGATCTGCTTCTGTCTTACGTGCCTTCGACCAGACAAGCTATGATGTGATAACTAGGCCTAAATATGTATATGCATTTAACACACACACACACACACACACACACACACACACACACACACACACATTAAACTATTGTTCACCTTTGAACGATCCCTCCTGAATCCCCCTTGACACTCTCCCATAGTTGAGTCAATTTCCAAACAGAATTCGAGACTCTGTGAATACCTTGCACATTACTTGATGAGTACGTAAAATCGCTATGTATGTGACGAAGATTCATTACGGCCACACTAAATTTGAATCTACATTTTCGAATTTTCTATGGTAACAACAGAGACGGCGGAAATAAATTATCATAACGATTTATTTTGTATGTAGATAATGATGGATTATTACTTGCAAGTTTTACTTTCATTGGGGAACATAGATATGTTTTTGGGTCCCACATTTTTGCATGACTTTACATGTCAACGCAAGAGGCGACAAAATTCATCAGCAGGTCAAGCTGTGTTACTTGGTTGACTGTCAGTCGTACCGCGACCGAGGCCGTAGTTAACCACCCCCACCACCCCTGGCTACGGCACTGGCGACGTATTATATCCAGGCTATCGTGTTACAGACCCTTGACATATCGCTATAATATGGCTTGGTGTGGCATTAAACAACACCGCGCGGATACACCTTTTTTAAAAAGGTGGGAGCATTTAACATTTTCAAAATACTGGCACATAATTCAGAGGCAATTTGCGTTTGTTAGCCTAAATCGTCACCGTGATCAGTATCCTAAAAAAAACATCAACCTGCTAACCAGCTAAGAAAATTGTAAATGCCTATGTATTTAAGCTCAGAATACAAAATGTCTTTATTCCTTTTTTTTATGTTATCCACTCGACATACAAGATATTCCAAAACAAATATTTACTACGCTCGCCTTTCAGGTTTCGCCTATTATTCATATTGTGGTCTAAGCTGTGTTGTGCGTACCCTTAGTTCTGCATCAATTATACGAGAAAACACAGTTTTGGATTATGAAAAACATTCACTCTAAAACTCAGATTAGGCCGAATGAAATTGAGAAAAGATATATTTATTTGTTTTCAAAGCTTATTGCTCCCTTTCTATTTATAACACTAAATTTTACTTAGGACAAATGTTGTTATAACGCAAAGAGAAAGAAACGCCTGTAAAATGTTTACGAAATTACAAAGGGAGAATACTCATTACAGATGGCGCTTTGACGAACCCTTGACTGGGTACTTGTCTTACTTTTACACTAGTCAGTATATCTATTGGAGAACCCGTATATCTGTAGTGCAACCAAATTGAGTGAACTGATGATATTTGTTACTATAATAGTTGATTTACACTAATTACTTATGTTTGAAACATAACAAGGAAAGAAGTATATCCTAACTGCAAATATTTAGCTAAAAACCTTTTTTTCATGTTTCAAGAACGCTTTTCCCACAATGCATTGGGGATTTGCAAAACAATCATGGCGTCGAAATTTTCTCTAATAGTCACCCAAGCCAGTCTAATCTGAAGCATCAATTTCGTCTCGAACGGCGGATCTTTTCACCTTTTAACGTAAGCTTAGATTTTATTATGGTATTTGCTTCTATTGAAGACACATAAATCGGTATAAATGGGAAAATCCACTCTTTCATTTTGGATATTGATGTTGTGCAACTGTGACAGAGCTGTGGAATTTTCAGGCAGTTCTGGAGGCTTCTGCTCTTCTGTTTCCCATTTCGTGTGTCGAATCATCATGAATTCAACAATATCGTTTTCACATGTATGACATCTAACTAAACAACTTATTCCATCTCCATAACGGTATATTTTTTTTTATCTGTTTTTATATTGTTTACTCCAGAATAGGAGTTGGCAAAATCAGGCTGATATTTACGTCTTTGCATTTGTATCTTTTTGGGCATTGTCACTGGGTCCACTACCTCGACTTTTGTAGTTCATACGCTAGTGTGTGTGTGTGTGTGTGTGTGTGTGTGTGTGTGTGTGTGTGTGTGTGTGTGTGTGTGTGTGTGTGTGTGTGTGTGTGTGTGTGTGTGTGTGAAAGAGAGAGACTGTGACTGTGCGGTGTGTGTATGTATTTTGGGTAAAGAATATATTTTCAAAACTCAATGGGCAGATTTTAGCAAATGGTAAATGACAAGGTTACTCAGTTTCAGACTTAACATGGTAACATTGTTTTCTTTGACAGAATTTGCAGACAAACAACTGATTGGTTATATGGTCCAGTCATGTGAAACTCTCAAGGTTCTTGTGAGTTGAAGTCATTAGATAAGCAAATATATGCATTGCACCTAACCATAATCCATGTCTAACTGCAGAAATGCATACTGATGCAATTTCAGTATTGAATGTCACAATTGTTATACTTTACACAAGAACATCAGATTGTTTTCATGTGACAGTTGATGATAATTTGGATAAGGGCTGCTCTATATTATATGGTTAATAAGAAAGGAAACAATCATCATGATCATAACTTTCTTTTCAAATTGCTATGTACAGTTGTGTATCAGGCTTGGTTTTCTCATTTGTAGTCGTGATCATGATGATTGTTATGTAAAGTAGTTACTATGCAGTTTATTAAATTCTTCATCTTTACTCATCATGCTCATGAGATTTCTTACACATGGAAGCCTGGTATGATACATCAGAATGTCTTTTTCTACACAATCATTGATGCTAAATACTAGTATTACTACTGCCACATATTCTGCCGTGAGACATACACCCTACCCTGCTACTGCATACAGTGAAATAGCAGTAATACCTAACACATTGCTTCATCATGCAGTTAATCATGTTAATAGAGATCCACCTAATGGAGATTCCATGTTAGAACAGGTCCCCAGCAACCTATGCTGGTTGTAAGAGGCGACCAAATGAATCAGGTAGTCAGGCCTGGTGAATTGGGGGATTGTGTTGTACAATGAAGGTGTGGGTTGTTGCTCACAATATCAGTCACTGGATTGTCTGGTCCGGACTAAATTATTTACAGATTGCCATCATATAGCTGGAATTTTGCTGAATCCAGTGTTCAACTACAAAATGCAGTTAATAGAGATACTGATTGTTGCATTGCGTGAAAAGAAATTAGTTATTTTTCTGTTTTGTTATGATATTTTGGTTTGAAAAGTGTATATTGATTAGATTCTTACTTTAAAACAATGTTTGATGAAGTATTGCATCATTAAACTAAAATAGTTAAACTTCCATGTACCTGTATTTCTTTATTAACAATCTGATGTTGGTAAGAGTTTAAACCCTCCCTGTTACAAGTATTATGTCAAATTCTTCAGATTTAAACATGTTAGAGCCTTCTGTTTTCAAAGCAAATGATAATCAGTTAGTGTTCATGTAAATGAGGGGCCATGAGTGGTCCAGTTGTCTAAGGTGTCGCAATTCGGTGTGCAGACTTGTGTGTCCCTTGGGCTCACCAGAACCATGTCTGTGTGTTTGAATCCTGGTTCGCCCCAATTATGTTTCTAGGTTTGTTAGCATCATACACATGCTCGGGGTTTGATGAAAGTGGTAAATGTCAGAGATCTGCAACACATCAGGCTGTCTTCCCACATTAAACTAACATACTGTGATATGACTGGAATACTGTTCCTAGAAGTGTTAAACCAAACAATGTCATCTCATGTAAACGACAACATCCGCGCCAGTGATGTGGTGATGTAGTTTAAAGGGAGTAATGGCATCATCACTGTACACTGATATTGACTTACTGTAATATGTAGGGCTGGATAAATTATCAGATCAGAATTATCGTCGATGAGAAGAAATATTAACAATGATCGATATGAAATAGTTGTAATCGATAATAACTTACATAAACTATTGTGATGAAATTACGTTTAGATTGATCGAAACAGACTTGTTATTGTTAATGATGTAAATTGTCGAAGACAAAAAGCAACTGTTTTTGTTATATCTCAATGTCCACAAAGTAATCTATGCATAAACGTGTCACTGCTTACCAGTGGCATGAAATATGTTGATTTCTTTTGAGACTTTATTGCATATTTGCTTTAAGTAACTTCTCTGATATTTATCGATAATAGATGGATACTTAGTTAGTGGTTATCCTTATCTATAATCTATAGTAATTATGGTCATATGAGATTGTCCAGTTGGTAAGACACACGAACACGGATGCCATTCCACAGACTGCTGTCCACAGGTACCTCACCACGGACTGTTTGACAGCCACCAAAGCAGTTACACCTCACTACAGACTGTTTTTCAGACGTGCAAGCAGTGATGCCTCACCATTGACTGTTGGTCAGACACGAGAGCACTGATTCCTCACCATTGACTGTTGGTCAGACACGAGAGCACTGATTCCTCACCATTGACTGTTGGTCAGACACGAGAGCACTGATTCCTCACCATTGACTGTTGGTCAGACACACAGACACTGATGCCTCACCACAGACGGTTCAGACATGCAAGCACTGATGCCTCACTTCAGACTGTTCAGACATGAGCACTGATGCCTTACTTCAGACTGTTCAGACACACGAGCACTGATGCCTCACTTCAGACTGTTCAGACACACAAGTACTGATGCCTTACTTCAGACTGTTCAGACACACGAGCACTGATGCCTCACTTCAGACTGTTCAGACACACAAGCACTGATGCCTCACTTCAGACTGTTCAGACACACAAGTACTGATGCCTTACTTCAGACTGTTCAGACACACGAGCACTGATGCCTCACTTCAGACTGTTCAGACACACAAGCACTGATGCCTTACTTCAGACTGTTCAGACACACAAGTACTGATGCCTTACTTCAGACTGTTCAGACACACGAGCACTGATGCCTCACTTCAGACTGTTCAGACACACAAGTACTGATGCCTTACTTCAGACTGTTCAGACACACAAGTACTGATGCCTTACTTCAGACTGTTCAGACACACAAGTACTGATGCCTTACTTCAGACTGTTCAGACACACGAGCACTGATGCCTCACTTCAGACTGTTCAGACACACAAGTACTGATGCCTTACTTCAGACTGTTCAGACACACAAGTACTGATGCCTTACTTCAGACTGTTCAGACACACAAGTACTGATGCCTTACTTCAGACTGTTCAGACACAGGAGCACCGACACCTCACCATAGACTGTGGGACAGGCACAAGAACACTGATGCTATGCTACCAACTCTTGATCAAACAAGAGTTGAAGACTCCCTCAGGGTTTAACCTTTTAAGTATATGTCATGTGTTTGATGGAAATTCATATAAGTGTAGCGGGGCTCAGCAACTAATAAAGTTGAATAACTACTTCTTTTCAAATCTTTTGAAATGTGTTTTGTCAATAATATCTAAACTTGATCAGTATTAATTACTTGTGAATGTATTTAGCCTGCTAAATGTCATCTGTTTGATACATCTTACCATGCTTATGAAGCAAACTGGGGCTAATGTAAATATCTATTGATTGCTAGGATGAATAATGTCTTCTTTATTTTATGTCTAAATTTTCGATATTGAGAAGTTATTGTAAACATGGTAAAGATAATTCAGAGCTGAGCTCCTTACGTTCAACTGCTTGAATTAACTTTGGAATAGAACATACAAATACATGTATTGTAGACTAGATTACAATATAGTATATATAATGAACATGATCATCTTGACCCCTTTCTGATCCATGACGCTAGTTGAGAGGACGCCTTGAGGCAGGTCTAGCATGATAGTGGTGATAGGTATTGATAGAGCTGATGGAGCTCTACCCTGGGGCTCGCTTTCCTTTATGATATAACATGGTGGTATTTGCCTATGTCCACTGGCCACACACAGGTGACTCATGTCAGGCTTCGCTGCCCACGAGGAGAATGTGCTCTGTCACATCACCAGGGAGTGACTGTCTCACTGAAGGCTTTTGTCCCCGACTCCACACTCTGTTGTGGTTGTCTCTACAACAATATTGTTAACTTCATAGTCGGTAGACTTCACAATGGTAAAGTATGTGGTTACTCATTCCAATGTTTATTTTTACTGTTTAGTTATTTGCTTCGTATCAGGCGTTGTTGTGTACCTATTGTCGGATGTAAGCCACTGATGGCATCGTAATGCAGTAGATGGGTTGGTTCTGTTCATTTGTTGGGTAACCCTTGATGTTTATTATTATGACCTTTTGCATTTGTAATCAAGATGTCTCAGTCAGGATTACTAGGATTGTTGTACAAGTATGAACTTTGCCTCGACATTGAATGTGGAAACTTGGTGTACCATATGCTTGTAGTTGTTGTTGTTGTCGTTCAGCTTGTTTTCATAAAGTGTAGGATTTTTCTTCATCTATTCTACAAGCATTGCATTTGCAAGACAATCCATCTTATAATAAACCCATTTCTACCCTCAAGAATTATTGAACCTTTTTGTTCATGCGAGTTTGAGACTTTGGAGCATAACAAACTGATTGTGTAGTTCCTTGAGTGTGTTGTCAGGAGTAGAGTGTAGTTTCAGAATACTGACAAGTTAATATAGTTTCATATCTCTGTGTGCTCCTATAAATAATTTTGATATTGACTATAGCATAGAGATACAGTTATCGCAGCTATTTCAGAATACTGTCAACATCTAGTGTTTGTATATCAGCAAACTTTATGTATGTTTGACAAACGAATCAAAACAATATTCACAGAAGATTACCTTGTATTTTTGAAGTATTGCTTTCAGGTTTCAAAAAAAACATTCTCATGAAGTATTTATGTGAATGTAGTAACTTTACCCATGTGTGTGTTTCAGTCTCGGGGCCAGTTAAGTGTGCCAGCTGGCCAGCGGACATTCCCGTCGTCAGCTCCACCCATCTAGTATTAGGAGCAGAAGTGGGATGGCCTGTCGTAGGCATTGCTCACATAGTCATAGGGAGCATAGAGACCATAGAGATCATAGAAGACTGTACGATAGTAATAGTGATGAGGACACAGACTTCTCGGAAACAGATGACAGAAAGAAAACCTGCATAAAAAGAACAAGGTATGACTGCTTTCTTCAGTCCCTCCCCATAGGGTTCTCAGGTCAGAATAGCAACCCGTGCTGGTTGCAGGAGGCAACTCGATGGATCTGGTGGGTACACACTTGGTGTTGTGTGGCATTGTACCTTGACTGAGTTGATCAATGCTCATTATATCAACCACTGGTCTGCCTGGTAAAGATTTGATTATTTACAGGCTGTGGTCATATGGCTGGAATATTGCTGAATGTGGCGTTAAACAATAAGTGTACTAACATTATAAACTTTGCAAAGGCAAAATTCATGATGATGAAGAACAGTCAGTTTTGGTGGATCTGATGTATTTTGTGCCTAGAGTTGAGTGTGGTGTTCGACAAGTATACAAACATTGTTAAGTTTTGATGGATGATGAAGACAGTCAGTCTGGAAGGATTTCATGTATTTCTTGTCTAGAGCAGTGCTCACACGGATATACCGTGTAATATATATTATGTCAACAATTGCAGCTTAGAACCTCATTCTCTCACCATCTCACTCTGTTTCAGTACAATTGGGCAACCTGCGAGATCCAAGTCCTGTTTGGTAAACCGTGTTCGTTCTCTGAGCTTAGAGAACACTAGCAGCAACGAGGAGGGCGGGGCATCTGATGGTCGTAGTGCCTCATCCATGCCTTTCTATATGAGTCGCAGCTACATGCAGTCGGGAGAGGTGGGCTCAAGTCGCAGTCAGAAAGTGTGTTCCCGGTTGTCGGGTTCCTCCAAGAACTACTTCACCCTGGACTACGGGGAGCAGGCCATGGCGGCTCCGAATTTGTCCTGCAATCTAAACATGAATATGAACATTAAGATGAATGGCCCTTGCTCTGCACCAACAGCAACAAAGGGAGAGAGACTTACTCTAGTTGTAGATGAGACACGATTTGTCATTGATCCAGAACTCTTCAGGGCAAGGCCAGAAACCATGCTTGGAAGGTGAGACAGGAAATGTCATTTGCTCTTTGATGCTGTATCTTTCCTAGTATGAATGTGCCTATGACTACTGTACTCACTGTGAGTGAAATGTATTTCTGAATGTGTATTGTTTTGCAGAATGTTCACATCATCACTAGAGAACAAGTTCACACGTCCAAATGAGAGAGGAGAATATGAAGTAGCTGAGGGGATCTCTGCAACAGTGTTCAGGGCTATTCTAGTGAGTGTTATTATCCTCTGCCAGTGTTCAGGGCTATTCTAGTGAGTGTTATCCTTCTCTTCCACAGTGTTCAGGCCTATTCTAGTGAGTGTTATCCTTCTCTGCCACAGTATTCAGGGCTATTCTAGTGTTTTCCTTCACTGCCACAGTATTCAGGGCTATTCCAGTGAGTGTAATCTTTCTCGGGCAGTGTTTCAGGGCTATTCTAGTGAGTGTTATTCTTCTGTGCGAGTGTTCATGGCTATGCTAGTGAGTGTTATCCTTCTGTGCCAGTGTTCAGGGCTATTCTAGTGAGTGTTATCCTTCTGTGCCAGTGTTCATGGCTATGCTAGTGAGTGTTATCCTTCTCTATCAGTGTTCAGGGCTATTCTAGTGAGTGTTATCCTCTGCCAGTGTTCAGGGCTATTCTAGTGAGTGTTATCCTTCTCTATCAGTATTCAGGGCTATTCTAGTGAGTGTTATCCCCTGCCAGTGTTCAGGGCTATTCTAGTGAGTTATCCTTCTGTGCCAGTGGTCAGGGCTATACTATTCTGAATGAGCCATAGATGGTATATTACAATGTGTGTGTGTGTTTCCAGGAATACTACAAGACCGGCCTAGTGAGGTGTCCACCAAGTGTGCCTGTCCAGGAACTCCGTGAGGCCTGTGATTACCTCCTCATTCCATTCGATGCCAGCACAGTCAAGTGCCAGAATCTGCGTGAGTAGTCACACACTTGTACACTTGTACACACATCACTTGTACACACATCACTTGGACACTCATCAATTGTCTCATACACACATCACTTGTACACTTGTACATTTATCACTTGCACACTCAACACTTATACACAAATCACTTGTACACACATCACTTGGACACTCAAAGGGGGCTAAAGTGCTGCCATTCACTGTGCAGAGTTGTGTCCCTTGGACATGCCAGAAACCTATGATTGTGGGTTCTTATCACGGTTTGCCCCCAATTATCTTTCTAGGTTTGTCAGCACCATACCCGTCCTCGTGGGTTTCACTGAAATGGTAAACGTCTGAGACCTGCTACTGGCTTTCCTCCCATATTGAGCTGACACACCGTGATATAACTGGAATAATGTTTAAAGCGGTGTTAAACCCAACTCATTCACTCACTCATCACTTGTACACTCCACACTTGTACACTCATCACTTGTACACACATCACTTGTACACACACCACTTGTACACACATCCCCTGGCCACACATCACTTGAACACACATCACTTGTACACACATACCCTGGCCACACATCACTTGTACACACATCCCCTGGCCACACATCACTTGTACACACATCACTTGAACACACATCACTTGTACACACATCCCCTGGCCACACATCACTTGAACACACATCACTTGTACACACATCCCCTGGCCACACATCACTTGTACAAACATCACTTGAACACACATCCCCTGGCCACACATCCCCTGGCCACACATCACTTGTACACACATCCCCTGGCCACACATCACTTGTACACTCCACACTTGTACACTCATCACTTGTACACACATCACTTGTACACACATCACTTGAACACACATCACTTGTACACACATCCCCTGGCCACACATCACTTGTACACACATCACTTGAACACACATCACTTGTACACACATCCCCTGGCCACACATCACTTGTACACACATCCCCTGGCCACACATCACTTGTACACACATCCCCTGGCCACACATCACTTGTACACTCCACACTTGTACACTCATCACTTGTACACACATCACTTGGCCACACATCACTTGTACACACATCCCCTGGCCACACATCACTTGTACACACATCACTTGTACACACATCCCCTGGCCACACATCACTTGTACACACATCACTTGTACACACATCCCCTGGCCACACATCCCCTGGCCACACATCACTTGTACACACATCCCCTGGCCACACATCACTTGTACACTCCACACTTGTACACTCATCACTTGTACACACATCACTTGGCCACACATCACTTGTACACACATCCCCTGGCCACACATCACTTGTACACACATCACTTGTACACACATCCCCTGGCTACACATCACTTGTACACACATCCCTTGGCCACACATCCCCTGGCCACACATCACTTGTACACTCATCACTTGTACACACATCACTTGTACACTCATCATGTATATCTTCATGAATAACACTGCTGTGGGATTTGTTATTCATTTCATTAAATTAAGGATTCCTCTGACATACTTACATCTGACTGTAAGACAAGCATCTTTGAAAGGTTGCTTTTAGGTGTCTGAAGGGGGCCATGTTTTGTCATATGGTTGCTTGTTTTCTCCAGGTGGTCTTCTACATGAACTGTCCAACGAAGGTGCTAGAAAACAGTTTGAAGTATTCCTAGAGGAACAGATCCTACCTAAAATGGTTAATAGTGCTCAGGTATGGACCACTTATTCGTTTTGTGATTTACACCAGGGTCACGGTGGCCCACTCGTCTAAGGCGCAACAATTCACCTGTACCATCCCTGTTATTGTGGGTTCGAAACCTGGTTCGCCCCGAATATGTTTCTAGGTTTGTAAGACATCACTTTGGGCAATCCTCCCTTGTTAAGCCGACACGCCATTTAAATGTTAGGAACTAACTCCTAAATATCTATCTTTATGGGTCCCACCTAATATATCCAGCATAACTGGATATAACCTTCGTACTTCTAATGACTTCGAAACCAGTGCAGGACGCTTATCCCAGTATAATCGATCTTTTTTGCCATCTGTTATACAAGCTTGGAATGCACTTGATATTAATATTAGAAATGTAGATTCCTTATCTCGTTTTAAGCAATTAATTTCTAGAGAAACTAAGCTTACTGCAAATTTTACATCTTTTGCTAGTTATGGCCAGCGGCAATGTCAGGTGATTTTATCTAGACTTAGGCTAGGTTGTAGTGATTTAAAATCACATTTATTTGACAGATTTCTGATTGATAATCCCATCTGTCCATGTGGCCTAAATAGAGAAGATGCTTTCCACTTTTTTCTATCTTGTCCACGCTATGCCAAGTTTAGAATTGATAAATACTTTTTTGTTAACCAGCTCAGCATACATACTATACTCCACGGCAATGAAGATTCATCTTCCTCAGACAATGAATACATTATAAAATCAGTTCACAATTACATCATTGAAACAAACCGCTTTACGTAAGTTTTGTGTCAACTTAAGAATATAAAATGCATTTGGTATTTTGCTTTCCATTTTATTTCATGTTGTGTTACACATTAATGTCTGCTCTATAGACTTCATTACAATCTATATGTATAATGTACAATATTAGGAGAAGCATTAATATAGGCCCTTTTGGCCTGCTAATCCTTTTTCCATTTTGTAATGCTATTTAATGTAAAATCTGAACATTAATGGAAATAAAATACTGTTTAAATCAAATGTTAGGAATATTTTGTGTTCATTATGGATTTTCTTTTGTAAAGATTGAAATTTCCGAATTGCTTTGGTAAAGATATGAACATGATTGACTCGAGAACCCAGGCATCCTTCATTTTGATTGGGCAGTCAAAGTTTGCTCAGGGTTTGCAGGGTCCATCTCCAATAGACCTCCAGCTAAACAAGAAGTAATATTTTATTGTTTTGTCGTCTTAGTTTCCGGTGCAAATAATATACAAAGCAAGTTTTTTTTAAGTTCAAGTCTTGTAATAAACATCTTTTACTTATGTTAAAATGTAAGTCTGATAAATTTAAAGTACAGGCCGATAAACATGGTAAATATTTTACCAGCAGATTTGCAGTTTATTAGCATTAGTGAATCCCAGAAGCTAAACGTATGTGCAGCTTATTGCTATTTCCAGGTTCTTCTACAAGACAATTATACATATGATAATATACATTTGTTTCCGAAACGTGTACCCAAGATTGTGCGAAGAAGTACATTATTCTCAGCATTCTTTCATTTGTATGGACCTGTCGTGATATTGCTGGAATATTGCTAAAAGCGGCGTAAAAGCTCACTCACTCACTCATTTGTATGGTACGTCGTGTTTGCAAAATAGGAAGGCAGTTGTTTGACATTGTATGGCCAGCAATGAAGTCATTATGGGATGTTCTGTGAATACATAATGTCTGTTAAACCGTTATGAAGAGTGCCAGGTATTCCTATATGACTGGGGACAGTTGACTGCAGGTGTTTTGTATGTGTTTCAGCATGGTGACCGTGAGTGTCACATTGTAGTGCTTACAGAGGAGGACATTGTGGAATGGGATGATGACTATCCTCCTCAGATGGGGGAGGAGTACTCTCAGAGTAAGTGCTTGTCCCTTATTTGAATACCATAATCATCGTATAACAGTACTTGCTTGACAAAGGTACTACCAGCCTTACCTACACATTGCATAGAAAAAATAAAGTAGTTAATCCATAAACAAGTCAGCCATGTCTTCATAGAGAAAGACTGTTCACACCTGCCTCAGGGTATGTTTAGCAGATGAGGCATCAACATGATTAACAGGAGTAGTAATGTTTATTGATCCTTACCCTCAATAATGCTGTTACATGTGTGAAAAAGCAATTTGTCTGATTTGATGCTTTCTATTCTGTTACAGTAATCCACAGCACAGCAATGTACAGATTCTTTAGATATATAGAAAATAGAGATGTAGCTAAGCAAGTTCTCAAGGAACGAGGCTTGAAGAAAATTAGACTTGGCATTGAAGGTGAGGACACTTTTCTCTTGCACACAAGTTTCCTGCTGGTTGTACTATTGGGAACTGGGACATGGCTCATGCATGTCATCAGACATTAAATGATAGCTATATCACTGTTCCTATTTGCGTGTAGTTCATCAGATGGGGTGCTTAAAGCATTCGCTTGTATCGCCAAGGACCCAGGTTCACTTCCCTCATGGGTACAAGTGTGAAGCCCATTTCTGGTGTCCCCCGCCATGATATTGCTGCAATATTGCTAAAAGCAGCATACTCACTCACTCATCATATGTTCCTAACGTGTGTTTGTGTTCCAGGCTACCCAACCAACATGGAGAAGGTGAAGAAGAGACCTGGTGGACGACAGGAAGGTATGTTAGTGGTCGGGTGGTGTGCACTGTACTCAGGCATGGATATAGGAGTATCTGGTGCTGGGTCACCCACTGTCTGTCATTGTCGGTCATATGCTTTGGATAAATCCAAACAGGATGATATTCAGATGAGCATATTTCTCTATCGCTATCCCTATCCCTATCCCTATCCCTATCTCTATCCCTAATCCTATCTCTTACCCTATCTCTATCACTATCCATATCCCTATCCCTATCCCTATCCCTATCCCTAATCCTATCCCTATCCCTGTCTCTTACCCTATCCCTATCCCTATCTCTATCACTATCCCCATCTCTATCACTATCCATATCACTATCCATATCCCTATCTCTATCCCTTTCTCTATCCCTATCCCTATCCCTAATCCTATCCCTATCCCTTTCACTTACCCTATCCCTATCTCAATCATTATCCATATTCCTATCTCTATCACTATCCATATTCCTATCTCTATCCCTATCTCTATCTCTATCCCTATCCCTATCCCAGTCACTATCCATATCCCTATCCCTATCACTATCCATATCCTATCTCTATCCCTATCCCTATCCCAGTCTCTATCTCTATCCCTATCCTTATCCCTTTCCCAATCTCTATCCCTATCCCAGTCTTTATCCCTATCCCTATCTCTATCCCTATCCCTATCCCTATCTCTATCCCTATCCCTTTCCCTATCCCTATCCCAGTCTCTATCCCTATCCCAGTCTCTATCCCAATCTCTATCTCTATCCCTATCCCTATCCCTATCCCTATCCCAGTCTCTATCCCTTTCCCAATCTCTATCCCTATCCCAGTCTTTATCCCTATCCCTATCTCTATCCCTATCCCTATCCCTATCTCTATCCCTATCCCTTTCCCTATCCCTATCCCAGTCTCTATCCCTATCCCAGTCTCTATCCCAATCTCTATCTCTATCCCTATCCCTATCCCTATCCCTATCTCTATCCCTATCCCAATCTCTATCTCTATCCCTATCCCTATCCCTATCCCTATCCCTATTTCTTGAGCCCATGGCTGAAACACACATAATGCCGGTAAAATCAAGTTTTCATCCATTTTTATGTCAAGTAACTATAGTGTAGCAATTGTGAAAGGTCCTGGTCAAGGAGTGTAATTGTAGTAACTGGAAAAAAACTCTGTAGGTTAACCGTTGTGCTTTGCTCTCCACTAAGCCAACATCAAGAATGTTTGGATAGAAATAGTTTGTGCATTCCAGAGGCAAGAGAGTTAACTGACTATCAAAGTTTCCACCCTCTTTGAACTAGGCTGGAATTATGGAGTTACATTTTGGCTGGACTCACGAGTCTATGCATAGTCAAATCAAAATCACACAACGAAATTGACATCCGGTATGTGTCTGCCATGCAGATTTTGATTGATTGCAGGATTTGCAAAGCATGTGTACTGTCATCTTCATGTCAACAGATACTTTCCAAATCTTTTCAAGGTGCTTACATGATTTGATGTACTTTGCAGAGCAAGACCCATTTTATTACAACATAGATCTTGATTATCGATCAGATCATCTTCACTGGGTGTCGCCATTTTGTTTGAAACAAATGCAAGTGATATGAGAGGTGGATTCTGATAGGTCAGTAGGAGGAGCATAGAAGGGACATAACTCATAATAGCTACTGTCAAGCCCAGAAAACCCAGCTTTGTTCGGCAAGGCTGGAAACTGGACTTTTACAGTCAGTTAACACCCTTAAACACTTCAGTTAATGGGTCATGCTGATATTGCTGCTATTAACATGACCCTCCAACTCCCTCCAGTTAATCAGTCACACATGTTATCATGGACCTTTTGTCTTCTGCAGTTATCTACAACTATGTTCAGAGGCCTTTTCTTCGTATGTCGTGGGAGAAGGAAGAAGCCAAGAGTCGCCATGTTGACTTCCAGTGTGTTAAATCAAAGTCCATCACCAACCTAGCGGCAGCTGCCGACGCCTCACACGACCAGGGTATCGTCCAGCAGGACCAGGATGGAACCATCAACGTTATTCCACCCCAGCCCTCCCCTTCCGAGCCCTACCCCGATGTACAGCTGCCTCCAGAGGGCGATGCCGACTGACTAGCTGGAGTTCACTACTGCTGCTGTTTTGCGGATGCATGTTTAAAATAACTGTGAAACCCTAAATGCAACTGTGGAGTGTTCAGTGTGCTTTGTCAGAAGATGCTATGATATAGTCTCGTATGTCAAGTAAATCTACATGTTGACTGACCGGTAGTAGAAGAGCAGACTGTGGATTAAATACTGAAGTAATAACGGTGGTGTTAAAGGTCAGGCATCTGAACGCTCTGCTAGATGGATCTGTGTCCTTCATCCAAGTGCCTCCTTCCAGAGTCATAGTCACTGTTGCATTTTGAGCTTCTGATAACAGGATGGAAAGAAAAGAACATATTTCTTGTGAAGTTTTGTCAACTTTGTGTCACATGTCCAGTTTGTACTGCCAAGTTGAAGCATAAGTATTACATGTGCAGTTCTTGACGCGACCTGTTTAACACTAGTAGCTGTTGGTCCAAGATGAAGTATGTTCTTTTCTTCATCACTGCCAAAACTGAAAAATAAAAAAGAGAATTCCCATGTATGATATTTTAAAGTGTATTACATGTGTCAATGTGTTCACCTCGTACAATTACATAGAGCTACAAAATGTTTTCCTTAATTTATCTGTAAATGTTGAGTATCTGTTAATATATATATATATATACATATATATACAAGTTTCAGTGTTTTGGGGAGAAATATTTTCCCTTAAAAGATATGTTATGGTATGTTAAAGACAATTCGAAAGTATAATTGTTTGATAGTCAAGTATTTCCAGAGATGTTCAGATTGGGTTCTTTCTTTGACCACCATGTTTCAGTGTCATGTTCGATGATTGTTGCTATGGAAAATGGAGATACATGTATTTTAAGGTTGGTTTTATTGATGTCCTGGGGCTATTAAAAAAAAGAGTTTAATATCTGTTTGGTTCACTTCTCACGATGTTTAAGCTGTTGAAGATGTACTCACAGTTTAAAGGTTTGTATAAACACAGATGTAAAAACAGAGTTAATGATACTGAAAAATATACCAGCTTCAGTCTCCTTGTAGAATGTCTGGACGACCACTTCATGATTTTATGTGTATGATTGTCATCTATATACGCACAATATGTCAATAACATTTTGTAATCAATTTGAATATAGCCAATTATAGTATTTGCTGCTGATTTGAACATTGTGTATTTCTATCCATGATTATGTCGTCATATAATGGGAATGATTTGATGTAATGTAAATGGCATGTACTATGGAATGACATTTTACAGTTTGAAGTGTGGTTGTATGTCTCTCAAGTTCATTCATATTGTGGTGTACTTAGGATATTTTATACAGTGTACGTTCACAGTGTAAGTGCTCGATAATTTGATGGTTCATATTTCATGTGATTGAGTCACCTTAGCCACGTTGATCATACCTGTCTTCATAGTCTTTTCCTAAACAAACACCAGTCATGCAAGAAATTGTTGAAGCAATTTAGCCAGGGGGTGAACTTGAAGAAACTTGAGATGGAAACTAGAGTTTATCTAGCCCTACAGCCAGAGACTACTAAATTGTATTGAGGACAACGATGGTAGTCTTCATTGACTAGTAGCATTTTAGGGCTTTAATTCTGAACCAGTTCTCAATGCTTCAGTTTTGAACCAGTAACATTTTCAGCATTAGAAACTAACAGTTTTCGTCCACTAGTCCTTATAATGATAACATATAGCAAAACCCTTAAAAATGGCAATTTTCTACTAGTCCTTATGATACCTTTACCACTCGGCAGTTTGGCAAGGACTACAGGACTAGTGCCAATTTCTAACCCTGATTTTCGTCTCGTTCAAGCAAGACTAGCTAAAAACTTTGAAAACTAGCTTATATGGTTTCCATTTCCTAAATACTGAATTTCTAAGGCTTTACTTTTCCAAGTAAGTAAGGAATTTTTATTTGTTTTGTTACGTGGGTTATGATCAGTCAATACCATACGTCGTCCTCATTCACTTATGTTATGAAAAAGTGTGTGGAAAGACAAAGGGAAATTCATGGAGTTATTGCAAGTGGACTTTTCTATTCCTTATGCTGGACTTTGATCTCAAAGCACATGTGTAATCTGTCTTCAAAATCACTGCATGCTCAGTACAGGATCATCCAAGTATATTGTTTCAATGAGGGAGTGTTCCACCATATCTTCCTGTGCCCAATGACTGTAGTTCCATCGTGGGGAAGAACTACCATCAAGGCTATTTAGACTGGGTTGACACAGCACTATGTTGAGTGTACACGGTCAGACCATGTTCGTTGATGAACAGATGAGCCTATTGTCATTTTTTTTTAAATTTTTCAAAGTATAAACGTAATTTGCTATATGGAAATGAACGTTTCTTTATTACAAACCCCTGCCTGTATTATCAACAGTCTCCTCAGAATATCCTGATTTCTTATGTTGTCAATACCTGATATTTCAGTGTATGTAACTCTAGTATCCAGCAAATCTCTAGAACATGAAACCACGGACTTGTATAAGGTTATATAGGTCCGTGATGAAACACATTGATCTTCTCTGGTTGTAGTGAAATGTAATTCCAAGGTTTTCAAGTGTTTATTTTTAATCTGTACTCTGCGATGAAGACTTACTTGTATGTACGGTTGGTACGTGAAGAGAGTATTGCATGATGAACATATGTGGGATGATGTCTTGTGACTTCACAATGTTCACATGAAAGTACTGTTTACACTGGTGGAACATGGATTTGTTTTATCTTATCATAAAGCAGCAACGACCAGTCAGAGAGTACAGTTGATAGACCATAGGTCAGAATTGGAGGATTGGTAATGCTGTCTATGAAGGTTTTGTTTGCTGCAAATCAGTAATGTGAGAAATCCCAGGATAGTGATGGTAAATCCCGGAAGGTTTGGGCATAGTATGCCAGTAGGAGTAGAATGGTTGCTGAACACATGATTTAAGACATGTGTATGTAACACAGTTGTGTTAGTGAAGACTGTGGAATAACACTATCTTGTATGTAACACAGTTGTGTTAGTAAAGACTGGAATAACGCTAAATTGTATGTAACAGTTGCGTTAGTGAAGACTGTGGAATAACACTGTCTTGTATGTAACACAGTTGTGTTAGTGAAGACTGTGGAATAACACTGTCTTGTATGTAACACAGTTGTGTTAGTGAAGACTGTGGAATAACACTATCTTGTATGTAACACAGCTGTGTTAGTGAAGACTGTGGAATAATACTATCTTGTATGTAACACAGCTGTGTTAGTGAAGACTGTGGAATAACACTATCTTGTATGTAACACAGCTGTGTTAGTGAAGACTGTGGAATAACACTATCTTGTATGTAACACAGCTGTGTTAGTGAAGACTTTGTAATAACACTGTCTTGTATGTAACACAGTTGTGTTAGTGAAGCCCATGGAATAACACTATCTTGTATGTAACACAGTTGTGTTAGTAAAGACTGTGGAATAACGCTATCTTGTATGTAACACAGTTGTGTTAGTGAAGACTGGAATAATGCTATCTTGTATGTAACACAGTTGTGTTAGTGAAGACTGTGGAATAACACTATCTTGTATGTAACACAGTTGTGTTAGTAAAGACTGTGGAATAACGCTATCTTGTATGTAACACAGTTGTGTTAGTGAAGACTGTGGAATAATGCTATCTTGTATGTAACACAGTTGTGTTAGTGAAGACTGTGGAATAACACTTTCTTTTATGTAACACAGTTGTGTTAGTGAAGACTGTGGAATAACGCTATCTTTTATGTAACACAGTTGTGTTAGTGAAGACTGGAATAACACTAAATTGTATGTAACACAGTTGTGTTAGTGAAGACTGTGTAATAGCACTATCTTGTATGTAACACAGCTGTGTTCGTGAAGACTGTGGAATAACACTATCTTGTATGTAACACAACTGTGTTAGTGAAGACTGTGGAATAACACTATCTTGTATGTAACACAGCTGTGTTAGTGAAGACTGTGTAATAGCACAGTTGTGTAAGTGAAAGGCTGTGGAGAGTTCAATGGTGCTTGTATTACCTTGTATATTTTGTACAGTTGTCTCAGTAGTATATTTTCTTGTATTCAGCTTTTATATACCGGTACGATCATCTTGCAGGGGACTAGATGGCACCATCAGAACACACTCAAGAAAACTGACATTTCTTGTGATGGACTACCAAAGATTGCCAGCTTTGTGTGTGTGTGATGTTGTGGCTCTCTTGTCAGCACTGAGTGCATGTACACAGAGGCTGGTTATTAGTGCTGTCTACCGCTGATTGTAATTGTTTCGGTTGTGAGTGATGCCAACTGAAGGATTGCTTGTTTTGATGTTTGACATGATATGTGTATATTTTTAATGAGTGGATACAATAGTGCCCAAGAGGTATATGCTTGAATGATTATGTAAGAATTCTTTTATTATATTACTTTATATACTTGCAACGTTTGTATTTACATCTCGATGTAAGGGACTGACCATTTGACATTCAAGGGGGTAAGGGTAGGGGTGGTGGTGCCTGGGATTTTATCGAAGAAAATAAATTGTCCTTGAAAAAAGAAATTATGCTTCAGACCTGTGAAAAAAACATTACCTGCCACAAAATTGACATTGTTGCAAAGTATTTTTTTGAAAAAATATTTCTGGCTCATCGTTTTCAAAAATATATATATCTGGTTTTGCAGATGAAGCTGAAATAATATTGTAAGCATCACCCTTAATATGAAATGGTTGGTCACTAAGTAAATGTAAAATAATGGAGGTCTTTCAGAAAATTTTGTAACATTGAAGTTCAAAGTCGAATCCCCAGTACTGATTTGATCAGAAAGAGGTTTATTCCAAAATTTGAAGGACACTAGCAGTGAAAATTGATGGTTTTTCACAGCTGCACTTTGTTACAGACATCATGGACAGCTGTTCTGCCATGTGACACTGATACAGTTGTACACAGGGTGTTGCACGTCTCACTTGGTATACAGTGTGCACTCATGTAGGTTCATCTAATATTTCACATCCACCTGCCCCTGTTATGATAACACTTTAACCTTCTTCTTTTCCTTTTCTATTGATTCCTTCATGTTCACCAGGTTCGCTGTTGTTCCACTGTTTGATGTAATCCTACCTTGTAGAATACCTCACTTACAGCATAATCACTGTCTCTGGCATGTCCTCAACACAGCTGAAACTCCTCTAATGACCCCAGCCGTCAAACCCCTCTTGTGTCCCCAACCATCAATCCAATACAGTGTCCCCTGCAGTCAAACTCCACTAGTGAACCCAACAATCAAACCTTTCAAGTGACCCAAGCAGTGAAACCCTTTCAATAAACCCACTAGTCCAACCCTTTCCGTGACCTAAAAGTCAAACATCGCTAGTGAGCCAAACAGTAGAAATTATCCAGGTATAGAATTTGACTATGTACATGTATGCAGTTTTTACCATGAAGATCCGGTCTCAAGCAACCGATGCTTGGTGATCAGGCACACGGAATAGGTTGATGCATGTCATTATATCCAAATTGCGTAGATTGATGCAATTCATGATATCAATCACTGGATTGTCTGGTCCAGATTTGATTATTTACAGACCACTGTCATATTGGTGGAATATTGCTGAGTTGGTCGTAAAAATAACAAACAAATTGTATGCAGTCTCACATTTTGAAATTGCAATAAATACTACTGGATGTTAACATTAATCAGAAAGCTGGTGAAGAATTATATTTGAATTCATGAGCACTGTCAAGTACATATTATACAGTTTCTCCTCAGTAAACAGAATCTTAGTGGAAAAGGGGGCAGTCGGGTAGCCTAGTGGTTAAAGCATTCGCTTATTGGAAATGAAACAGTACGTAATTTGCAATTGTTGTCATGACATCTCAAGAATGATAATAGCAGTGTATAAGGAAGAATCTTCAATACTGGAATCACAGCACACTTTGAGACGACCCTAGTTCTTCCTCACCTGACTCCCCACACCCGACTCCCAACACCCAACTCCCCACACTTGCCCCTGCCCTTGACTGTCTCTCCATGCATGTGTTACTGTAGACCCTGTATGTTCACTGGTCTAAGCGACATCCGTTGGTATCATCATGAATGATCAGCAAATTACAATACCTAACATTACCACATTACTCAATGGCATTTTAAGGATGCAGGAGATAAATGTCAATTCTAAATTTCAGCATTTTCTGTTTCCTCTTTTCTCCTCCCTACATAAAGTAAGTTTTGTGCTGGTTATATATCATCACAAGATTGTTATGATTGACTTGGAACCGTCTCTATTTATCTTCTGTCTAGATGTTACTAAAATACTGTCGATTTTTCCACATCCTTCATGAAGAAGATGAAGAAACACATCAAATAACCCCTTCCTTTCTGCCACAAACACACCACCTGTGGCTGATGAGCATAGCTCATGACTGTGGCCAAGGGGCCAACTGCTAGTATATGAACCTCACCTTTCGACAGCTTCAGCAGCCTGCCTTGTCCTCAGTACTACATGCTACAGCTGCAAAAGCATCCAGCTCTTGCACAATATCATTGTCTAATAAAACATTAATCACTGAATATGGTTTTGTCCTTCTGTTTGTACTTTAAGTATTTCTTTCTCAAAACCAAGAACAGGCCAGGTTGTAACATATGCCAGACATTTTTGTGTCATATATTTCATTGTAAGAATGAAGTAATGATAAAATGAAACTAAATTGGTCCTTTGTAATTATGCGATTTTCGTTTTAGATGTTTCCTTATATATACTAAATAATGCATCAAAAGAATGAATGCAGAATTGATATATACATCTGGAAAAAGCTATGCATTCCCTTCAATCTTGGCTATCAACAGTAAGACTGAAAACATCATTTTGGCAATGGTAAAAATGCCCTTCCATCGGGAGGATGTGAAGTAACAGTCAAAGTCGGGAAATCGGCGGCTGTCCTCTACTCCTTCTATCCCCGCATGTCTCAATGACCAAAGATGGCGAATAACCGCCATAAAAAAAGTAGGTGTGCAATTCAAAGCAATTGGGCGTTTACTGGGTTTCGCGGCGGATGATCTACTGGTCTGAAGTGAGTAGATTCATGCTGCAAGTTGCTGCCGAACACCTACGTATTTGGAGGCACAAACACTGGAACATATAAAGGTTCTGTCATTGTGTGGGGTCGAACTTCTCACGTGCAGCGTAGCCTTTTGTGATTTGCAGAGCATACATGACGATATGGAGAGAACTCATGATGATGATGTGCATGACAGCCTCTTATGATGAGCTGAGCAGGGATTCACAGCGATGTAAACATAAAATTTGCATCAAACTGATTTATTCACCCTCAGACCAGAAGTAATTCCAGTTGAGAATTGATCTCCAGCACCTGCACTTTTTGTACGAGACTTGTGGATCGGATGGTCAGGCTTGTTCACTTTGTTGATAGCCTGTGATCGTACTCTGTTTGCATCAGACATTATTGAAGTCAGCGCGAACACGGGTGCTTAACCTTGACCTTGGCGTAAAGCTAATTCCACATTCTGTAAGTTTGTGTATGTTGTTTAACGCCGCTCTCTGCAATATTGCAGCTTTTTGAAGGCTGTCTGTAAATAATCGAGTCTGGACCAGACGATTCAGTGATTGACATCATGAGCATCGATCCACGCAGTTATGATACGATGACATGCATCAACCAAGTCAGCGAGCCTGACCACCCGACCCCGTTAGTCGCCTCTTACGACAAGCATAGTCGCCTTTTAGGGCAAGCATGGGTCGCTGAAGACCTATTCTAAGCAGTATCTTCATGGGTACATTCTGTAAGTCAAAATGCTCCCTAGTTGCAGTGTCGGTACGGTTGATTAAAGCTTCAGAGATAAGAGTGTTAATGTATGTGGTCACACAAGGATCTGTTCTTGGACCCCTTTAGTTCACGTTGTACACAGGAAGCTTATGTGATGCTGTAGAGAAATACAGCACTGCTGATGATACATCTGACGGAATTAAAGATCTGGAAAACTCTGTCAGTTCTGCAAAGTCTTGAATGTCTGAAAACCGTTTGAAACTCAATGACAGCAAAATTGAAGTCCGGTAGTTATTCCAAAGGGGCTCTGTTACCCCAGCCAACTCCCCAGGGCCTACTTGCACAAATCGATCTTAGCGCTAAGATGATCGTAACTCCAATGCTTTAACATAGGCTTACAATAGTCTTAGCGCTAAGGTCGCTTTGTGCAAGAGAGCCCAGATTCCAACTTTCAGTTTTAACCCGCTGTTAAGAACGCTGGGGTGTTGTTTGGATCAGAACAGAAGAAAGGGACAAGCCGTCAATTTTGTTTGTAATATCTACTATTGTCATCTCAGGCACACCACTCACATTCCACGCATGCTGACAAAGCAGTTTACTCATCACCAAGTCCGCTCATTGATTCTCCCCAGAATTGGGCGGTCGGGTAGCCTAGTGGTTAAAGCGTTCGCTCGTCACGCCGAAGACCCGGGTTCGTTTCCCGACATGGGTACAATGAGTGAAGCCCATTTCTGGTGTCCCCCGCCGTGATATTGCTGGAACATAGCTAAAAGCGGCGTAAAACCAAACTCACTCACTCACTCACTCCCCAGAATGGACTCTGGCAACAGTCTCCTGGTTTACATGCCTAGAACGTACAGACAGCGATGCTCTCTGAGGTTAGAATAGACGTATGACATTAACTCGGCTATTTTCGTGACAGATATAGGGTCAAATGTGCACTTTGTGATACAAGCATGAACCTTGGCACGGTTGTAGGTTCTGATATTCCAAATATCTCAACATGGAGCAAACCAAAATATCCAATATGGCAGCCATGGTCGAATGAAAGTCTAGTATATCTTGAATAAACACGGCCCACAACCTTACCTATATTATGAAAAATGAACATTTGTTTACCCAACACTTCATCTGTAAAATACATAACTGTATCGTTATAGTTTATTTATCATTATTTAGGTAATCTAAAGTGTGAAATGTTTTAAAAACAATATGCATTTCTTTCTTCTTCGGCATATATTTATGACGAACGTCACCTAAGCCAGTCTGTCTCACAGTCCCTGAACCATACTTTTTCCCTTCCTGTACAACCCTTACTGTTATGCAAATGCTCTAAATGAAGCAAGTCTAGATTTTACTGAGGTTCAGGTCCAATCCTCCTGGGTCTCCTTTTCAATTTAAATGGAGTTATTTGGTTCTATCAAAATTATACTTTTTCAGAGACTGTGCTTTGATCTACATTGAAGCCAATATACCAATGTAGCACCTGTGTAGCGCTGACAGTGACACCAATGTAGCACCTGTGTAGCGCTGACAGTGACACCTATGTAGCACCTGTGTAGCGCTGACAGTGACACCAATGTAGCACCTGTGTAGCGCTGACAGTGACGCCAATGTAGCACCTGTGTAGCGCTGACAGTGACACCAATGTAGCACCTGTGTAGCGCTGACAGTGACACCAATGTAGCACCTGTGTAGCGCTGGCAGTGACACCAATGTAACACCTGTGTAGCGCTGACAGTGACACCAATGTAGCACCTGTGTAGCGCTGACAGTGACACCAATGTAGCACCTGTGTAGCGCTGGCAGTGACACCAATGTAGCACCTGTGTAGCGCTGACAGTGACACCTATGTAGCGCCTGTGTAGCGCTGACAGTGACACCAATGTAACACCTGTGTAGCGCTGACAGTGACACCAATGTAGCACCTGTGTAGCGCTGACAGTGACACCTATGTAGCGCCTGTGTAGCGCTGACAGTGACACCTATGTAGCGCCTGTGTAGCGCTGACAGTGACACCAATGTAGCGCCTGTGTAGCGCTGACAGTGACACCAATGTAGCACCTGTGTAGCGCTGACAGTGACACCAATGTAGCACCTGTGTAGCGCTGACAGTGACACCAATGTAGCGCCTGTGTAGCGCTGACAGTGACACCTATGTAGCGCCTGTGTAGCGCTGACAGTGACGCCTATGTAGCACATTGTATGACATTAACTCGGCTATTTTCGTGACAGATATAGGGTCAAATGTGCACTTTGTGATACAAGCATGAACCTTGGCACGGTTGTAGGTTCTGATATTCCAAATATCTCAACATGGAGCAAACCAAAATATCCAATATGGCAGCCATGGTCGAATGAAAGTCTAGTATATCTTGAATAAACACGGCCCACAACCTTACCTATATTATGAAAAATGAACATTTGTTTACCCAACACTTCATCTGTAAAATACATAACTGTATCGTTATAGTTTATTTATCATTATTTAGGTAATCTAAAGTGTGAAATGTTTTAAAAACAATATGCATTTCTTTCTTCTTCGGCATATATTTATGACGAACGTCACCTAAGCCAGTCTGTCTCACAGTCCCTGAACCATACTTTTTCCCTTCCTGTACAACCCTTACTGTTATGCAAATGCTCTAAATGAAGCAAGTCTAGATTTTACTGAGGTTCAGGTCCAATCCTCCTGGGTCTCCTTTTCAATTTAAATGGAGTTATTTGGTTCTATCAAAATTATACTTTTTCAGAGACTGTGCTTTGATCTACATTGAAGCCAATATACCAATGTAGCACCTGTGTAGCGCTGACAGTGACACCAATGTAGCACCTGTGTAGCGCTGACAGTGACACCTATGTAGCGCCTGTGTAGCGCTGACAGTGACACCTATGTAGCACCTGTGTAGCGCTGACAGTGACGCCTATGTAGCGCTGTGAACAACCACCGAGGAGATGGATGATAGCTCCTGACAAGTGGACTGTTATTTTGTGTATTATATTATTATTATTATTACAGTGTCAGTTCAGTGTCAGGTAGAGAGTCACTAGAGTGTGTGTACAGTGTCAGGTACAGTCTCGGGTACAGTGTCAATAGAGAGTGTGAACAGTGTCGGGTAGAGTGTGTGTACAGTGCCGGGTACAGTGTCGGTAGAGTGTGTGTACATTGTCGGGTAGTGTCTGAGTACAGCGCCGGGTACAGTGTCCGTAGAGCGTGTGTACAGTGTCGGGTAGAGTGTGTGTACAGTGTCGAGTACAATGCCGGTAGAGTGTGTGTACAGTGCCGGGTACAGTGTCCGTAGAGCGTGTGTACAGTGTCGGGTAGAGTGTGTGTACAGTGTCGAGTACAATGCCGGTAGAGTGTGTGTACAGTGTCGGGTACAGTGCCAGTAGTGTATGTGTACAGTTTCGGGTACAGTGTCAGTAGAGTGTGTGTACAGTGTCGGTAGAGTATGTGTACAGTGTCGGGTACAGTGTCGGGTAGTGTGTGTGTACAGTGTCGGGTACAGTGTCAGTAGTGTATGTGTACAGTTTCGGGTAGAGTGTGTGTACAGTGTCGGGTACAGTGTCAGTAGAGTGTGTGTACAGTGTCGGGTAATGAGTCAGTAGAGTGTGTGTACAGTGTCGGGTACAGTGTCGGTAGTGTGTGTGTACAGTGTCGGGTACAGTGTCGGTAGTGTGTGTGTACAGTGTCGGGTACAGTGTCAGTAGTGTATGTGTACAGTTTCGGGTAGAGCGTGTGTACAGTGTCGGGTAATGAGTCAGTAGAGTGTGTGTACAGTGTCGGGTAATGAGTCAGTAGAGTGTGTGTACAGTGTCAGTAGTGTTTGTACATTGTCGGGTAATGAGTCAGTAGAGTGTGTGTACAGTGTCAGTAGAGTGTGTGTACAGTTTCGGGTACAGTGTCAGTAGTGTGTGTACAGTGTCGGGTAATGAGTCAGTAGAGTGTGTGTACAGTGTCGGGTACAGTGTCAGTAGTGTTTGTACATTGTCGGGTAATGAGTCAGTAGAGTGTGTGTACAGTGTCAGTAGAGTGTGTGTACAGTTTCGGGTACAGTGTCAGTAGTGTGTGTACAGTGTCGGGTAATGAGTCAGTAGAGTGTGTGTACAGTGTCGGGTACAGTGTCGGTAAAGTGTGTGTACAGTGTCGGGTAATGAGTCAGTAGTGTGTGTGTACAGTGTCGGGTACAGTGTCGGTAGAGTGTGTGTACAGTGTCGGGTAATGAGTCAGTAGTGTGTGTGTACAGTGTCGGGTACAGTGTCAGTAGAGTATGTGTACAGCTTCGGGTAGAGTGTGTGTACAGTGTCGGGTACAGTGTCAGTAGAGTGTGTGTACAGTGTCGGGTAATGAGTCAGTAGAGTGTATGTACAGTGTCGGGTACAGTGTCAGTAGTGTTTGTACAGTGTCAGTAGAGTGTGTGTACAGTGTCGGGTACAGTGTCAGTAGAGTGTGTGTACAGTGTCGGGTAGTGAGTCAGTAGAGTGTGTGTACAGTGTCGGGTACAGTGTCAGTAGTGTGTGTACAGTGTCAGTAAAGTGTGTGTACAGTGTCGGGTAATGAGTCAGTAGTGTGTGTGTACAGTGTCGGGTACAGTGTCAGTAGTGTGTGTACAGTGTCAGTAGAGTGTGTGTACAGTGTCGGGTACAGTGTCAGTAGAGTCTGTGTACAGTGTCGGGTACAGTGTCAGTAGTGTGTGTACAGTGTCGGGTACAGTGTCAGTAGTGTGTGTACAGTGTCGGGTACAGTGTCAGTAGTGTGTGTGTACAGTGTCGGGTACAGTGTCAGTAGTGTTTGTACAGTGTCAGTAGAGTGTGTGTACAGTGTCGGGTACAGTGTCAGTAGTGTTTGTACAGTGTCAGTAGAGTGTGTGTACAGTGTCGGGTAGTGAGCCAGTAGAGTATTTGTACAGTTTCGGGTACAATGTCAGTAGAGTGTGTGTACAGTGTCGGGTAATGAGTCAGTAGTGTATGTGTACAGTGTCGGGTACAATGTCAGTAGAGTGTGTGTGAAGTGTCGGGTACAGTGTCGGTAGAGTGTGTACAGTGTCGGGTACAGTGTCGGTAGAGTGTGTGTACAGTGGCGGGTACAGTGTCGGTAGAGTGTGTGTACAGTGGCGGGTACAGTGTCGGTAGAGTGTGTGTACAGTGTCGGGTACAATGTCAGTAGAGTGTGTGTGCAGTGTCGGGTACAGTGTCGGTAGAGTGTGTACAGTGGCGGGTACAGTGTCGGTAGAGTGTGTGTACAGCGTCGGGTACAGTGTCGGGTACAGTGTCAGTAGAGTGTGTGTACAGTGTCGGGTAGAGTGTGTGTACAGTGTCGGGGTACAGTGTCAGTAGAATATGTGTACAGTGTCGGATAGAGATTGTGTACAGTGTCGGGTACAGTGTCAGTATGGTGTGTGTACTATGAGGGTACATTGTTGGGTGAAGTGTCAGTACGTTGTCGGGTAGAGTGTGTAAAGAGATTGGCACTAGGCGTGACCGGACAGGTCTGTGGAGTGTTGTGAGGGGTCCTCTGGTTTTGTTTATGGCTAACCGTGACATGTTTATGGAAAGAATATTTCCCTGTTGTCCTGTGTAAATAGTTTACTCTGTCACCGACTTTCAGCTATTGATGACACATGCCTGACGCCAACAACCAACACCCACAATGTGACATCCAATGGGTAGGTGAGTAGGTCATCGCCAGTACTTCCAGCTTTGGTTAGGGTGGGATGAACCGGGCAGTGTAACTGAGCCCTCCTGTCAGATCGGAGGAGGCGCCATCTTCCTCATCTTCGTTTCCCACTGTGCAACAGGCAACCCATTTGTATATCTTAGAGGTACACGACAAATATTTTATTATCTTTCATAAAAGTAAACATATCGATACCACTTTTTCGTTGAGAGGCATTTAAAAGTCGGAGTACTAAGTAAGGATAAAGATAAATGGATGAACAACTTCTTTATCACAATTAGGAGCAACGTTTCGGTATATGTTCTAACAGCATTATCAAGAAGTTGTTCATCCAAATATCTTATCCTTAATTTCGATTCTTCTCTTTGTCACTTTTCAAAACAATTTCTATTATTTCTATGTTTTGAGTGGTGTAAGGGGAGACTTGGTCTTCAGTAGACCTGTTCTATATTTATATTGTTACTAGCTTATTAAAAATATCAATAAATATTTCTCTGGAAGGAAAACTTTTAACATTGGAACTATCACACTGCATTATTTCAATTCTTGTCGTTGATATATTATGAAAGAAATTAATAATAACAAAATAATTGAGTTATAGAACGGAAACGTGAAAACCTTTTAATTATCTCAGAGAATTAAGACAACCATGACCTAGGTTTGTCATCACGTGACGTGGGTTTCACCAAAGTGGTAAACGTCTTGGACCTGCATTCTGACCCGCCCCGATGCAACTGAAGTACTGTTCGAAGCATCTTTTGACCAAACTCACTCATCCCCGTGCCATCACCGGAGCTCCGCCTGGCGGGCTGTTACAGGTCAACTCCTGCAAGTATTTAGTACATTCATAGAGACAAAGAATGTCCCTTTCCCCGGCCTTACCCGACGTGGAATAAACTCAAGTAGTGGTTTATGAAGCCACAAATCATCTCAAGGATCGATCCCGGGCTAGGTTTACCATAACACTCAAGGGGAAGTCAGTGGGCGGAAATGTACTACAATTATGATTTGAGCCCACTTACTTAATTTTAACGTCTTATATATCGGATGTAGTTTGTAGAGACACACACGACATGGTAAACGCACCAGGGGGATTATCTTCTGTGTTTATGAAGGAGTCGTTCCAGGCGATAGTCGGTTGACAGCTCGACGTTTACCCTTCTTGCGGTAAGTGTTTCTTGGCAGAAGAGAGATGTTTTATTGTATGAATTCTCTGTTAAATTCCAAGGTTGATATTTCAAATGCAAGTTGGATGTGCTCGTTGTGAGCCGTCGGTGTGTTGGTCACCGTGTCTCAAATCAGTGGAGTTTTTTAGATGTGTTAATAAATTATATCTGGTGAGTGAGTGAGTTGGGTTTAACGCTGCTGTGAACAGTATTCCAGTTATATCACGGCGTGTCAGCTTAATGTGGGAGGAAAGCCTGAAGTGATGCAGGTCTCAGACGTTTACCACTTTGGTGATACCCAGGAGCACGAGTTGGTGCTGACAAACCTAGAAGCATAATAGGGGCGAACCGGGATTCGAACCCACGACCATAGGTTGCAGTCGTGCCCAAGGGAAGCAACTCTGCACAGCAAATTGCGGCGCCTAAGACGACTGAGCAACTTGTGCCCCAAATTATATTTGGGAATTGAAGAACCACCCAATAAACATGCATGGCATTGAATGCCTTTTTCAAACGTTCTCTTCCATTTGATTTCTACGGTATGGTAAATTATAAGCTATCTTTTTCGATCTGTAAATTCATGAAATAAATTTTAAAAAACCGCGAAAACCTTCATATGAGAAATGACAGGGCCACATCAATTGTGTGCGACGTGTTTCAGTTGAGTCATGATGACGTCAGGAATGTATACAACGTTGAGGTCGCTCGCCCCCTTTCTTCTCCTGCTCCCCCTCGCGTCTGGGTGTGGTCGGGGTGTGGTCCACATCAAGGACAACGAGTACCGGGGAATGCTGATAGCCATAGAGGACTCTGTGCCCGAGGACTACTCACTGATCGAGAAACTACAGAGCATTTTCACCAACGCGTCGCAGTACCTGTACAGAGTTACACGGTAGGTGGCCGGGTACAGTCACGCAGTAGGTGGCCGGGTACAGTCACGCAGTTGGTGGCCGGGTGCCTGTACAGTCACGCAGTAGGTGGCCGGGTACAGTCACGCAGTAGGTGGCCGGGTTCAGTCATGCAGTAGGTGGCCGGGTGCCAGTACAGTCACACAGTTGGACACATCCGGGTACTTGGAGGAGACAACACACGTGTCCAACACTAGCTCTAACAGACCAAGGGCTATACTCGGTTCTAATCTGGGATTAGAGGATACTGACACGACTGAGGAACACAGATTGATGCGGCATCCTTTGTCCCCTCTGTTCATTATGTAATGTCGTGATGTTAATACTTATCTTCTCGATATTTTTCTAAAGCGATTTAACAAGTACGTTGTTATACATGGTACGGTGATACATAGCGAGTGGACCAGTGAAGACCCGGGTTAGAAAGGGTCGTCAGCAGCCCATGATTCCCGTAAGAGCCGACTATGCTTGTCGTAAAAGGCGACAAACGGAATCGGGTGGTCAGGCTCGCTGACTTGGTTGATGCATGTCATCGTATGCCGTTTGCGTAGATCGATGATCATGATGTCAATCACTGGTTTGTCTGGTCCAGACTCGATTATTTACAGACCGCCGTCATTTAGCTGGAATATTGGAGAGTGTGGCGTTGAACAACAAACAAACAATCAAACAGCGTGTGCCCACATTTCTCCAGTAAACACATACATGAATGTTCCTTTCCATTATCAACTTTCAGACAGCGGGCATATTTCGGTGACATCACGATCCTGGTCCCAAGGTCATGGTCAGACAGACCCCAGTATGAACCACAGACCAAAGAGACTGTAGATAAAAGCGATATTCTTATTGACCAATCAGATGACAGATTCAGCCATGGCAATCGACCTTTCGTAATTAAGACGACACCTTGCGGCGAGCTGGGACACTACATGCATCTGACCCCAGCGTACGTTTTGAACGACACCGTTGCTGCTCCATACGGCCCATACGACAAGGTGAGAAACATTCTCAGAAGGTGTATCTGACGAGAGTAGTGACGCAAAAGTGAATATTCAATTATATAACATTCTTTACATCAATCACTTGGAACAACCTTATCCAAAGTTTACACCAACAGCGTCATTTGATTGCAGACCATTAAATGGGCAATACTTGTATACAAATGCATCTGGATCAATACGGCATCTAAGAAAAAGACGGTTATTTATACATAGTGAAAGGCAAAATCAACGTTTGTTCAGAATTGGAACAGTATGCTAACGCTTACACCACGACCTTTTAGTTTAATTCCCCAAACCAAGATGTATTATTCTGTAATACAGCAAGAATCCCTGTTTCTGTCCTCAATCCAGACCATCATACATGAGTGGGGACATCTCCGATACGGGGTATTTGATGAGTACTCGGATGAAAGGTCTTCTCAGCAGTTTTATGCTGCGAGTAATGGCGAGATAGAAGGCATCCGTTGCTCGACGGCGATACGAGGGAAGTATATATCTCTTCATATCTCCCTGTAATAGAACTTTAACCATTCTATGTTCTTGTTTCTTGGTGTTTTTGTATTGCTTTCAAAGTTTAACTCCTACTACGTATTGTATACTAGTCAAAGGAAATTAAAGAAATTGATTATTTCATATTACGTGGCATGACAAATGAACTATGGTGATATTAAATAATCCGGTGTTCTTAAACTTCTTTTGAGTAGTACACAATAATTATCAATCATTTGGAACAACCTTATCCAAACCCACACCACCACATGACAAATTACTTATTGTGATATGAAAGAATCGGGTGATCCTTAACGTCTTTTGAGTAGTATGTAACATCATCCCGTTCTCTGGTTGTTATACTTGGTGCTATCAGTCCGATGTTGCCCATGCAGGTCGCTTCTATGATGTGGTCCGACAGACGGAGGGCTGTAGATACCAGGACGGACTTCCGGACGGGAACTGCCGATTCCAACCCTACACAGAAGACACACGGGGAGAGCACGGCTCCCTGATGTACTCCCAGCAGCTGCAGCATGTGAGTTGTCTCCTACAGGCGTCTGCAGACGCCGAATTCAACTGTAACGAGATCAGTTCTCTCATGGAGTGTAATTATTAACTATATTTCAAACTGAACAGTACAATTTTAGATACAATGCATTTGTTGGTGGCCATATAATGAACACTTCAGTGCTGTTCAAGCCCTGCTTTGTGGTCTGTCGGGTTTCGGGCTATAGTCCATGGACATGAGATGCAAGTTTGACACGTTAACCCAGTATTTCTGATGACATCTGAAATTCTCCCTGTGTGTCACGAATCCGTATGTTTTTATTTGTTTCAGATCGTCCACTTCTGTGACAACGACCCGTCATCTCCTCTCACCCTCCACAACCGACAGGCCACAAACAAACAGAATCAGATGTGTGATGGCCGGAGTGTGTGGGAGGTGAAGTGATGTTTTCGTCATCATGTAACCTATAACCCGGAAGTACAATATCCTATGTTACATTTAATCAGATAGTATCACTAGAATTACGGAAAATATCAAATAGAGATCCCCCAATGTCACACAGGTTTAGAAACCGCAATATTTGACATTCGGTCCTCTCATAATAACCTCTCTTTAGTAATCCTGATGAAACTTGGTATACTAAAACAACATAAAACGACAGTTGAGTTACGTCACCCAGCCTTCCGTTTGGTTGAGCTAAGAGAAACCTTGGGTCATGCTGAAGACGTTTGCTCAGTGAAACTGTTTGTTTTATATCAACATCTAATCTACTAAGGTGATGAGAGAGCATGGTGATTTCGAGAAGAATTTCAACCCTCCCCACAACGTGACGTCGACAGTGCCGACGTTCCGCCTGGTCAAGGAGAGCACCAAGCGGACAGTATTGGTGCTGGACACATCCGGGAGCATGGACTCTTTCGATAGGATCTCAAAACTCGCCAGAGTAGGTGCCCTCTCTTGTCATCTCTAAACTTCACACACACACACACACACACACACACACACACACACACACACACACACACACACACACACCTTGTGAAGATCCGGGGTAGAATAATAACCTATGCTTGTTGTAAGAGGCGATAACGGGATCAGCTGGCTAACTGGGTTGATGCTTGTTATCATATCTTCATTGCGTAGATCGATGCTCATGAAATCAATCGATTATTTACAGACCGCCGTCGTATAGCTGGAATATCGCTGAGCATGCAGTGTTCGAAATAAACACCTACATGTACCTGTAGGTCCGTTGCAGGTAGATCTCGTGTCGGGCCCGTAATTTCCATATTGTATAAGTCCTTTGACTTCAGTGAAGTTACGTGTCCATTTATTTGTCACAATAAGCTGCAGTTAAATGAGGGTCTGAAGAGTTTAGTCAGGGCCTGCAGCTTCTAAAGTGTGTGAGTCCTGATGGCAAATCGGCAAATTAGTATATTTCAAACACTCTTAAACAACGTTAAACCATCAACAAACAAAACTACTTGTATTATGAAACAGAAAACAGTCTGCACTTACTGATTACGTGTGATTTTTTTTACTAAAATATACAGTCAAGTCTAGGATCCCGGAGCAAAACAATATTTTATCATATAAAAAATCAGAATTGTAGACTTGTGAAACAAGACAGGTGACGTGTTTATGTTGAAAGTAGAACAGTATGAGCGCAAAATTATGTACGTTTGATATGTTATACTCTCTGTACAACTGACTGTCCAAACTAAACTATCCATATGCCACAGAGCACAATTGACAAAAGACAAAATGAATTTGATAATGATCAGCTACCTCAGTATTGAGATAATCATACCCCATACATGTAGGGTGGCCTAGTGGTGACTGTGTTCGCCCGTCACGCCGACGGAACGGGTTCAGTGCCTTGTGTATAGTTTATGTTGTCCCCTAGGCGGCATCCAACTACATCTCTCGCGTCCTGGAGGACGGGGAGCAACTTGGAATTGTCTGGTTCGACCGGCAAGCCACCATCAGGTCTAGTCTGCTCGTTGTCAACAACCAGACGAGGTCTGAACTTTTACAACATGTTCCCAAAACTGCTTCTGGCGCAACCAGCATCGGAGACGGTAAGTCGAGTTAATCGCATCCGATACGCAGACAGTTGCAGCCTCTCAGTCAGCACTGTGTGCCATACTGCTGGTTGAGAGGCTGCAACTGATTGCGTATGGGGTTCTATACGCGTGAGTGAGTGAGTTTGGTTTAGCGCCGCTTTTAACATTATTTCAGTTATACTACGGAGTGTCAGCTTAATGTGAGAGGAAAGCCCGAAATGATTCAGGTATCAGGCGTTTACCACTTCGGTGAAACCCACAAGCACGGGTATGGTGCTGACAAACCTAGAAACATAATCGGGGCGAACCGGGATTCGAACCCACAGTCATAGGTTTCTGGCGTGGCCAAGGGGCGAAACTCTGCACAGCGAATCGCGGCGCCTTAGACGACTGGGACAACGGTGCTATACGAATATATATCAGACGCCCGTGTGTTGGTCACCTTGGTCCAACAGTTAAGTGGTTATGTTGCCCTTGTCCTTGCAGGCATCCTGAAGGGCCTGGAGGTTCTGGCATCTACCCCGGGTGGGAACATGATCCTCTTGTCAGACGGGATAGAGACCCACCCTCCCTACATCCGGGACGTCTTGCAACAGGTGACAAACCCATGTTTAGTGCAATCTGAATTTTATGTCTGCTCCAGGTGTCCCGTTTTAGCATTTTGTAGAATTCATGTAAAGAGTGAGTGGGTTGGGTTTAACGCCGCTTTTAACAGTATTCCAGTTATATCGCGGCGGGTCAGCTTAATGTGAGAGGAAAGCCCGAGGTGATGCAGGTCTCAGACGTTTACCACTTCGGTGAAACCCACGAGCACGGGTATGGTGCGGATAAACCTAGAAACATAATCGGGGCGAACCGGGATTCGAACCAACAATCATAGGTTTCTGGCGTGCCCAAGGGACGCAACTCTGAACAGCGATTCGCGGCGCCTTAGACGTGCCCCCTCATGTAAAGAATAACGAACCTCAATTATCATGTACAGTGCAATTTACATTTTATATTTACTCTAGGTTCCAAGTCTTAATATTATGTTAAATTCAAGTATGTCCCACAACATGTATCGACCTCAGTCCCCATGTCCAGTGCAATCTGAACTAGTACTCACGTGTCGTTCATTCTGACACAGCTGGACTTCCTGTATAGGTTCTGTCTATTCTGTTCCAGATTGTTGATGCTAACGTGACTGTTGATACGATTGCTGTGGGCGCCAGTGCCGATGAACAGCTGGAGATGTTGGCACAGACGACGGGCGGTATCAGTTTCTTCCATTCCGATAGCGACATCTCCAACGCTCTCAACGACGCCTTCATAGCTTCTGCGGAGCATGGCAAATGTAGGTCTGGGTTTGTTTCTGGAGTATGTTGGACTGGAATTATTACTTAGAAATATAGCTCGACCACACAAGTCATGTTCCCGAGGTAGGGGCGTAAACTGACTATAAAAGTCTAGTTCCCACCCATGCCGAACTAGGCTGGAATTCCGGTTCGTAAACAAGGTGGATTTCAACGTGCAGATTTCGGTCGACTGCAGGATTTCCAAACACGCGAACCGCCAACTGGGCGTCGACAGATATTTTCCAAATCTTTTCATGCTTTTAATCAAGGTGTTCAAGTGATTTGATGCACCTAGCCATGTAAGACCCTATATTACAATATAAGATCTTAATTCAGATCAGATCGTCTTAACTTGGCGCCGCCATTTTGTTTGAAGCAAATGTAAGTGATACGAGAGGTGGAATCTGATTGTCAATGGGAGGGACATAGAAGGGACATAACTCGTAACAGCCACTGGTGGCGCTACGGTCGAGCCTGGAAATTCCAGCCTTGTTCGGCCTTTGTGGTCAGTTAACTCCTTCTTTAAACTTCTCCTCTGAAACCCAAAGCCTTATGAAGCCGAACGCTGATAAAAAATACTTTTCAAGAAACTATTCAAGGACTACACAACCTTGTTGTTTTATTTATCTTTGAAAAAACGGATATTGTTTAAGCTTAAAAAAAACCAAGTCATATAATCATATTTCATTAAGCCTTTAGTCCGTTAAGTGTACTGCATCTACAAACACATCTACACTAAATACACATATTGAGAGAGGATTCAGTTTTTTACAATGTTATCACTTGCCTGCTACAGCTGCCCGTCAGAGAGTCTTGCAGCTGCTCAGCCAATCGTTGCTCCTACAGGCCGGCGAGAGTCACAATGACGTCATCTTCTTTGATTCGTCCATCGGTGACAACACCGACATTACCATTGGCTACAACACTACAGTCCCGCGGGTTGTCATGGTGACCCCTGGCGGTCGTGTACTGAACTCCTCGTCCCCTGAATATACCAACGAGGCTTCCTTCAACACGTCAAACTTTCATTTCAAGGGCTACGAAGAGGTGAGACTGACTAGACTGTGCTTGTCATTGTGGGGGCTGCCAATCGATGTGGTACGCGGCTCGCAAATGTAATTGTATTTGGAACGCAGATTCTAAAATCATTTTTTTAAAATAATGTTGTACGTAAACATTTCCTTTATATAATTTACTTTTTCGATATTATTTCACTAATTTAACTTCAAATCGCATCCTTTCATAACCTATAAGGGTGAACAAATGAGACAGTAAACTACGTTTATAACGAACACGCTTATAACGAACTGGGGGGCACGGGTGGCCTAGTCGTCAGGCGCCGCGATTCGCTGTGCAGAGTTGCGTCCCTTGGGCACGCCAGAAACCTATGATTGTTGGTTCGAATCCCGGTTCGCCCCGATTATGTTTCTAGGTTTGTCAGCACCATACCCGTGCTCGTGGGTTTCACCGTAGTGGTAAAGGTCTGAGACCTGCATCACTTCGGGCTTTCCTCCCACATTAAGCTGACACGCCATGATATAACTGGAATAATGTTAAAAGCGGCGTTAAACCCAACTCACTCACTCACTATAACCAACTGACCGATATAACGAACTTATTTTTAAGTCCAAGCCATTGTTGTATATGTGCTGTTTATATGCTTGTAACAAACTAAAATAAGTGGTCCCTTTGAGTTCGTTATAACCGTAGTTTAGTGTAGTTGGTATTCGGGATTGTTGAGTAGGGGTGGGGGTTGGGGGGGTAGGCACCTTCATTCTAGCATGGTAAACACGATGATGTGCCTGGACGCGTGTACAGGAGACATATTGAGTGTCATTGTCGACGGACAGAGAAGTACTGTCCAGCATTCACATGGGCTTCAGCGACCCTGAAGGGATCCCAGGTTAGACTTGGTCTCCAGCAACCTATGCTGGTTGTAAGCGGATTTAATATGGATACAGGCGGATTTAATGGATTGGGTGGTCAGGCTGGTGAAGTGGTTGATAGCGTGTCATCTTACCCCGACGGCGTGGATCATTGTTCACGCTATCAACCACTGGATTGTCTGTTGCAGAGTCGATCACTTACAGGGTGGCCTTAAACAACAAACAAGCAAGCATAGGCTTCTGCGGGAGTCCGTTCCTGCCAGATTTTGAAATACTCAAGAAAAGTGTCAGAGTTTCGCAGATGCGATGTTTCATTAACCTTCATTATTTGCTGATGGTACAGTTGTGTTGTCCTTTTGAGTTGGTGTTGAACACGATCTAGGTGGACCCAGGGGAAAGTGTTAGTCAGGTGTGAAATTTAATTCCATGACAATTTCCGAGAATCTATTCTTCCAGACTGGCGGTCTCGCTGTGAACATCACCAACACGCACGAGGAGATCCAGGTGGTGACCTTCACCGTGTCCACACGTGTCAGGCAAGGTCAACCGGCACCCATTTTGGCACATGCGCAGTGGGGTAGATCAAGTGTTGCCTTCCCGCTCTTCCAGAATCTCTTTATCAGCGTATCGCAGGGTAACGTATCTTGTTCAAATGATAAACGAGTACACGTGTAGTGTCCCATTTCCATGAAATATATGAGGTTCAGTCCGCTTGACGTTCTCGTGCATCTTGTGACAGAACAAGGCAGTATGTAAAAGTAGTTAACGATGATAAGCCACAGTTTCAACAAAGGTGTTTCGTATCTGAGTGTGTGAGTTTGGTTTTACGCCCCTTTTGGCAATATTCCATGTCTTGGGACACCAGAATAAGCTTCACATATTGTACCCATGTGGGGAATACCTGGGCTTTGGCGTGACGACCCGCGCTACCCCACTGCCCCTTCTGAAATAATACTTGTGGCAGGCAGTATGGAAAACACATCTACATTTATCACAAAGGTAATTTTAGGGCACACTTAGTCATTAAGTATATATTAGGTGCGGTTGGGTAGCCTTGTGGTTAAGGCGTTCGCTCGTCACGCCGAAGGCGTAAATGGTAAATTATTTCAGGGTTGTCCCCCTTGCTGAAAGCGACGGTGAAGGCCACGTTGGAACAGCCAGGGTTGACGGAGGGGGAGGCGACAAGGGTCCCTCTCATGGTCAGGGACAACGGTGCAGGTGGGTGTTACATATGGATACCAGTCACTGGGATGGCAACACGTCACCTGAAGGTATACTACAGTGACTCTAAAGAAGTTAAAGAACACCCGATTAACTGCAGTCATGGGAATCAGTCATGTGGTCTTTTACTTCTTTTGCGTAGTATACATAGAACTGTAGCTGGTTTCATTATAATATACTCATCAAAAGTAGTAAAAGAACTCCTGACTTGGTTCATATGACTATAGTTAATCTGTCATGGCTTAAGCGGAACAGCAGATCAAGGTCATTCAGATACGCCAATCAGAACTTTCACCACAAAAACCATCAAAGTGGTCGTTTCCAGTTGAGTCTCTATATATTTCAGCGTTAAAACATCTCTTAAAATATCTTCCCATTTTTTACGATGAGCTACATTATATGTACGTGCCCGTGGACAACTTTGCCGTAAGTGTGAATTTACAGTATGTTTAGATGTTTAGAAGCATGTGTGGCCCAGTCGTCTAAAGCGCTGTAATTCGCTGTGAAGAGTTGTCTCCCTTGGGCACGTATGTTCGAATGGCGGTTCGCCCGATAATGTTTCTAGGTCTATCAGCACCATACCTACGCTCGTGGGTTTCACCAAAGTGGTAAATGTCTGAGACCTGCATCACTTCGAGCTGTCCTCTGACATAAAGCAGACACGCCGTGATATAGCTGTTCAAAGCGGCGTTAAACCCAACTCACTCACTCTTTTATTAGGCGCTGATGCGACAAAGGATGATGGCATCTACTCGGCTTACGTCACCAATTTCACCAACAATGGCCGCTACTACGTCACCGTAACTGTCAACGACAATGCAGCGACTGTGGTTGCTACGGATCGTGTGGTTGGTGTGGGGGCAGCGGTGGTGGATGACGGAGGGGTGACGTCAAATACACAACAGACTGTGGAGCACTTCCAGAGGTCAACGTCCGCTGGATCATTCAGTCTCACGGGCTTCGCTCCTGGTGGGTTCGTCCAGTGGGGAAAGATTTCTCTCCAATTGATAATCCGGGTTCGATTCCAATATGGTTACAATAAATGAAGTTGGTAGTGTCCCCAATGTGATATTGCAAAGATACTGCCTGGATATCGCTAAACGCTGGGCTAAACCATGAATATCCCTCCCCCACCCTCACTGGTCACGTTGGACAGGCGCCGTGGTCTAGTGGAAAGAGCGTCTGCCCGGGCGGTGGCTCAACCCCCGGGCGCGTCATGCCAAAAGACGTCCAAGGATGGCACTTGTTGTTACCCTGCCTGGCGCGTTACATTAAAGGAATATAAACAAGTTCTGGTCGCCTCGGAGTCAGTATACTGTGTCTGAATATTTATTTTGTTTGTTGTTTAACGCCGCAATATTACAGCTATATGACGGCGGTCTGTAAATAATAATCAGGAGCATCGATCTACACAGTTGGGATACGATGACATGCATCAAGTCAGCGAGCCTGACCACCCGGTCCCGCTAGTCGCCTCTTACGACGAGCTCGGGTTGCTGAAGACCAATTCTTACCCGGATCTCCACGTGTCACGTGGGGGGTCAGGCGAGGTCAGGTGAGTGGCACTGTCCCCTGTGGAACACCTGCCTGAACGACATGTTGTAGTGCCAATATATCCCACCTAATGGAACATTAGTGACGTATTTTGTTGTGTTTTTTATGAAGTTGGTAATTTGTAAGAAGTAAATGGACACGTATGAAATAACGACGTTTCGGAGCCTTCTCGGAAATAATTTATTTGACTTTTCTATATACACTTGATTTAAGAAGTCGTGTTGCAGGCACTGACATATTGCCACCTTGCAAGATTTCCGACCTCCAGGTGACCTCTGTAGGATACAAGGTGGTTCGGCTGGAGTGGACGGCACCCGGAGACGATCTCGACACTGGCACAGGTATGGGGTCGGAATTGAGTACTTTAAACTCCCGTTCCTGGAATTCCCGCAGTTGTGGTCTGTTTATTCATGTTCCCTATACCACAGACGCTGGATAAGAACAATGTGGTCATACCAGGAGTCTCGAAGCACAGAATGCAGACTGTACACGTACCTGAACCATATTATTGTCCCGTCCGCCCAGCCCTTACTGTAATGCAATAGCAAGTCTAGATTTTTCACAGGTCCTGCCATCTCACTGGGGCAGCGTGGGTCTCCATTTACATTTTAATGTGGCTGCTTGTTTCTACTATCAAAATCATATATTTTCAGAGACTAAACGTTAGCCTGTCTGTACACGGTACTACCTACGCTAACATAGTCCCGTCAGCACGTGATGTTAAGTCACGATGACCGCTGTTTATATTAAACAGTACAAAATATCTTCAAAGGGGAATAATGAACCTGATGTGCAGTAAATTGGTGAAGCGCTGGAATCGGGTATATTGATGACTACATCAGGAATGCCATCTTCCCGAGGCAAAGGAGTTAACTGACTATAAAAGTCAAGTTTCCACCCTTGCCGAACAAGGCTGGAATTCCGGAGTTACATTTTGGCTGGACCATGGAGTCCATGCATAGTCCAATCAAAATCGCGTAACGAACTAGACATCCGGTTCGCAAACAACATGGATTTCAACGTGCAGATTTCGATCGACTGCAAGATGTGGAAAGCATGTGTACCGTCAACTGAGCGTCGACAAATATTTTCCAAATCTTTTCAAGTTTTTAATCATGGTGCTCAACTGATTTGATTCGCTTCGCGAGGTAAGACCCGTTTTATTACAAAATAGATCTTGATTATCAATCAGATCGTCTTGACTGGGCGCCCCAATTTTGTTTGGAGCAAATGCATGTGATATGAGAGGTGGAATCTGATTGGTCAATAGAAGGGACGTAACTCTGTGACATTGTGTTCCAGCCACCACGTATGAGCTGTGGATGAGTACTGAGTTTGACCCACTGTATGAAAACCACACGCTGACCACACCAGTGACCGGAGAGATGTTGGCCGAGGGAGATATTATGAGCCCCGCGGCGTCCGGGACGGCAGAATCCATCGTTGTCAAACTAGATAGGGACGGTAAGGATGGGACTTTTCAATGTTTAAACAAATCAAAACTGCAAATGTAAAGCAGGAGATATATCAGATGGTCACTGGCGACATTAGGCGTGCTAAGATAAACGTCTTGTTTGTCATGACCCATCCACCCCCCAATGGTCGCAAGCGTGGGGATTACCAAAAATGATAAATTTGAGTCAAGTTTAATTGTATAGATTTCTACCTGCCAAAGAGTCTTTTAAACACCCCTTAGTTTTGAAAGTAGTCTTTAGAAACAAGAATAATTGTTTCGCGTTGTTAATTTTTTTATCATTATTTTTTTTTACCCAGGTGATGTGACGTATTATTTCACCATACTTGCAACCGATGACGTCGAACTGCGAGGACCACGCTCCAACATCGTCAGCGTTTCCATGAAGCACGTACAGCAGCCTGATGATGTCAACGTGGCACTGATTGCTGGGATAGTGACGGGCGTCTGTGTCCTGGTGGTTTTCGTTGCCGTAGCAATTGGCGTAGTGATACACCGGAAGAAGAGAAGGGGATTCATCGTCACAATCAGGAAGAAGTACCTGGGTTGATATTAGTGATACTCATCCTATTGATTCCATCTAAACATTTACAGAAACTGACTACAGTCTGGCTTTCACGTACTTCTGGGAACAAGTATTAGTTTTTAACGAATTTCCTTCACACTTCAGTTACTAGTGAAGCTTGGTTAACATTTGTTTTTCCTATAGTGACGCATATACAGACAAACTGTTTTCTGATCATGGAGTGAGACTGCTTCAGCACGTGACTAATGTGTGGTATTGTCACGTGTTGATTCCCAAGTTGTAACGCGAAGGTTAACCAGACATCGGTACGTACAGAACTAGCTTGTGAAGTCAATAAATAACCACACAAGATTAATGGGGAATCAACAAATTATTTAAAAACACAGGATTTGTGTTACAATGATCAAAGGTAATACAAAGGGCCAATGTGTGGCGGCAGCTACAAATAACAGGCCTTATTACAGAAGTCAGTGCACTCAGAAATGGCCGGAAGTCGTCACAGTCGACTGTCTTGAATGAGGCGCGTGCTCCGTTCTTTAATCCAGGAACCAGTGTTGGAATCGGGCAGAAAGAGACACGTATCCTGTCTACACTGGGCAAGTAGATAAGTTAAGTCTTAGGATTCGTCCTCACCCTCGTCTTGCTCTTATATATATAAGTACAGCAAACCTTCTAGAAACTGCTATCTCAAATCGTCTCGAATCATATAGTGATTCGACAACCTTAAAACAAGCTCCTCACAGGGGAGGGAAACGATGGTGTCAAGCGTTGGGAAGGAGTTTGGACTATGAACAACCACAACTAAATTTATAGCTGTCAAGGTCACCACAACAACTCAATATTGTACGAGCGCCTCAATCAATTTGCTGCCACTTTCAATCAACACTGCGCCATCAGCCTTCAAACAGCAACAGCTACTAAATGTTTTTATCCGTTATGTAGCAGTGCAAATGTACTACTCAAATGAAATTAAAGAACACCCAATTTTTTTCTTTTTTACTGTATCTGAATAAAAATACGTGTGGAAAGGGTGTAATCTGGGACATGGTCGTCGTGATTCTGTCCATCAATCGTAATTATCTGTTTGACCATGAAAACAATATTTCCATACAGTCAAGTCCCGTTAATCCGATATGGTTTGTTGCATATGATTATGTCTGATTACCGAGTATGAAAATAATATCAATGTTTGTGATAAAATATCGGACAACTTCACGATAGATAACGATGCGAACACGTTGTAATAAAAAATGAAAAATGAAATATTCATATTATTATGTTACATTGTTAGCGGAATATGTTTTCTAATCATGCAACCTCTAAAGCTTAACACAAACTACGGTTACGGAGTTTATGACTGGTTTAAAATACGTGTATAAAGCATATTCTGGAATGGAAGTCGCCAGTTAACGAGTCCGCTCGTCACGCCGAAGATCCGGGTTCGATTCTCCACATGGGTTCAATGTGTGAAGCCATTGATTTTGCTGTAATATTGCTAAAAGCGGAGTAAAACCATACTCACTCCTTGACGGCAGCCACGTTCTGAAGAAAATCAGGAAGCAGGACTGATAGTATCACATTTTTTATGATTTTTCAGTGATCCATTCTTATAATGTTCACCGCTATTTTGCCTTTTCAACCCAATGGAATCTGTTTCGGCGGATAATCGTGAATGGTTAATCACTGGTGTTACTAATTCACATAGTATAGTCGGTTAGACATAGTTTTGTTATTATTGCGAGTGCCATATGATCACGTCATGCAAAGACAATGGACTGTAATGATTGATAAAGTAACTGAGAGCAAAGATCTTTTTTTCGTTTCGCATGGTGCTCGTGAGATCACGCTGTCGTGTAAAGGTGTTGAGTACAAAGGGAGGTAATACAGAGTTGATTACCGTTGATGAGATCTGTAGACCAGCTGACACTAAAGATACGTGTTCAATCCTCATATATGCTGGGTCAGTGGAAAAGAGTGATTTAAACTGTAATGTATTTTTTTGCCATCCCATTCAAGCAGTTGAAATAAATTGGAGCATGTTACCAAATTAACTATGAAATAGACTCGTGAAGATCCGGGTTATAATTAGTCTTTAGCAACCCGTGCTTGTAAGAGGCGACTAACTGGATCGAGTGGTAAGACTCGCTGACTTGGTTGATGCATTTCATCGTACCTGATGATGTCAATCACTCGATTGTTTAGTCCAGACTCGGTTATTTTATAGCTGGAATATTGCTGAGTGCGGCGTTAAATAACAAACAAACAAACAAACAAATATACCCTCTATACCAGACCAACGCTAAGTCTCTGAAGATATACAATGTTGATAAAAATAAGCAACTACATCTAAATTGAAAAGAAGCCCCGGTGAGATTGGAGATTCTGAACGTGTAGAAAATCTTCAGACCAACTTGCTTCATTTAGTATTACGGGGCGGTGGGGTAGCCGAGTGATTAAAGCGTACGCTCGTCACGCCGAAGACCCGGGTTCGATTCCCGACATGGGTACAATGTGTGAAGCCCATTTCTGGTGTCCCCCGTCGTGATATTGCTGGAATATTGCTAAAAGCGACGTAAAATCAAACTCACTCACTCATTTAGTATAACAGTAAAGGCTGGGAAAATATCATGGTTCAGGTACTGTGAGACAAACTAACCCCCATACCAATGTTGAAAGAAGCCACACCTAAGGGGTCGAACGACTGAATACATTCTCAGCTCAAATGAAATCTTAAAAGTGATTTCATAGTGTTCACGGGGTTCGCCAGAATCGCCCTGGTCGTGATCCTAGTTTTGTGAGCACCATGCCTGCCTGTATGGGTTTCTCCAACGTGATAAGCGTCTGCGGTCTGGTACCATCTATCGACATGCATGTCGTGAAATAGGACAACAGAAATATAAAAGCATGGATAATACATGACAGTTGCGTCCCTGTGCATAAGTGAGTGAATGTTGTTTTACATCGCAGTCCGCAACGACACAGCTGTATCGTGCGATCGAGTCTTCCCTTACATCAATACCATGCCATGACACAATTGTTCTGTGTTGATATTGTATATTTAGCACTATATGCTTTTAATCTGCATTACATTTTTGTTATTTTAACTTTTGTCCCGGCAGTGTATATCATTCTTTTTACTATCAATTAGTAACTTTGCGATTGTGCACTGTGGGACACACAAATAAACTTATTTTCCTCTTCTTCTTAAACTACGAGGAAAAAAGAAATAAGCATGTCATGGCCTTATAATTAGACTACAATAATTAAGTGTATTTTCAGATTTTGAAATAACTTTTGTATAACTTTGTATTCGTGCAAATAACCCTGCCATTAAACCGTTCCAGGGTCCGTGTTGACATCAAAGATCTGTTGTGAACAATAAGGACACACTTAAAACAAATAAACAATTCTGGCAAAAGATTGACTCGGAGGTTTATCTTTGTCTTCGACGTACAAAAAACTGTGCGTCCAAAACGTTACTGCAACATCTGTGCGCATCATCTCTAGGTCACCCATACACACATGAATGGATGTGAAGAAATATCCACTCACAAGATCAATAAAAGCTTTTATTGGTCAGTTTTTCTGGCCACGACACACGTGCATGAGCGAGCGAGCGGCGTCAGCGTTCTGATTGACACCGGTCAACCGTCGCGTGTCCAGTTTCTTAAACAAAGGGTGATCGATGAAGATCAAATAATCTTCCTGCCCGCCCCCCTCCGTCTGAGGCCCCTGGGGTATTCACAAACAGTCGGTATTTGCCTGTTAACCAAGACGCCATTCTTAATAGTGCTAACGAGAGAGGCGACCACCGCAAGAAAACGAAGGTCACGCGCCAGTTGTATACTGCAAATAAGGGTGGCGGGAAAGGGCACGTGCGTGGGAAAGACGCACCTGACGGTTGGATTATCTGCGCATGCTCGTCGTCCCACGGCTCCGTTTTGTCAACAGTTTGGTCTAAATCTTACCACAACTTGAATGGAAGATTAAAATTCCTGTGCACAATTGAATAGCTTTATATTTGTCAATATGTATCGTCTTTCCTCAAGGCAAGCATTCAGGATATGTCAGTTATTTCACAGTTGTATGCATTGCAGGGGAACGATTATCCCACATTCTTGGTGGCGTATTTCTCATGTGAACCGTAGTCCCATGCAGAACTACTTAGGCCACACGTAATGAAATAATATATCAGTGCACCGCCAGTGGTGGTGAATCCAGAGGGCGGGGAAGCAATCATTTAATCAAACGTCTGCAAAGTCGATGGGAATAAAATTTTACACTTGAAACATGTTTTGAGAGTCCGAAAACAACATGAACGAACTTCACTAATAAAGATAAGGGGAATAACTCTATTATCCTTAACTCGATCTACAAACGCAGCCGCAAAATAGTAAGTTTGTGGTTCAAGTTCGCTTAGCCTTACCAATAGAATAAACGGTCAGATCAGCAAAGCAGTTGGAACGCTGTGTCAAGTAGTCATCCTCCAAGTCACACTAACTTCGATGTGTGTAGAAATATGTAGACATCGTTTGTTCTAGATGCCAATAAAATACTTGAGATTATGTCGAAATTCAATTTAACTTCCCAAAGCAGTGATAACGTGTTTTAACAGCCGCCTGCATCGTTACGTAAATATAACACATGCTATATTACACTTTTTTAGTAAAGTACAAATTCTAGTATTTTTTTTTTGATTCCCATCCGAATTCGAACCCACACTCTCAGATCTGCAGAGTGAGGCACCTAATCGCAATCCCACAAAGTCAGCGATCTAACCCACTCAGCCACAGAGGCTTACACATGTAAACGCTAGCACCTGCGAAAAGGAGTGTTTCTCGCATGCACCACCCCTTCACAGAATGGATTACAGTGACAGCTAGTCCCTGGGCTATAGAGAACTCCTATCTCAACTCAGTTCTACTTCTACCCATATCTATATCCTTGTATTCCTAATCTGTATACAGGGTCGTGGAATGGCCCAGAGGTTGACGCGTTCTGCCGTTCACATCGACGACCCGGGTACGGTTCACCACATGGGTACAATGTGTGGAAACTAAGTCTGATGTTCCCGTGATATTGCCGGAATATTGTCAAAAGGCGTAAAACCCAATTCGATAATAATTGATTGTTGGTTGGTTGGCTGGTTTGTTTGTTGTTTAACGCCGCACTCAGCAATATCCCAGCTATATGACGGCGGTCTTAAATAATCGAGTCTGGACCAGACAATCCAGTGATTGACTTCATGAGCATCAATCCACTCATTTGGGATACAATGTCATGCATCAACCAAGTCAGCGAGCCTGACCACCCGATCCCGTTAGTCGCCTTTTACGACAAGCATAGTCGCCTTTTACGTCAAGCATGTGTTGCTGAAGACCTATTCTTCCCCGGATCTTCACGGGTCCATTAATTGCATATGAGGGATATTCTAAACATGAGTTAATACACGTTAAAAAATTCATAGTGTGATATGTGCGCTGAAGGATTGGGCTGTGAATATTCATTCTGCAGTCATGTTAAGGGCTAGCTGAATAGAACCTTCAAAGCGGCGTACAATCCCCGTATATACGCACAGTTGTGTACTCAGCTATATTCCAGCCATATGACGGCGGTCTGTAAATATTCGAGTCTTAACCAGACAACCCAGTGGTTGACATCATGAGCATCGATCAACGCAATTGGAAAACGATGACATTCATAGACCAGTCAGCGAGTCTGACCACTTGATCCGCTTTATAATGGCCGCCACTTACGACAAGCATGGATTGCTGAAGATCAATTCTACAGGTGCGTGTGCGTGTGTGTGTGTGTGTGTGTGTGTGGCGGGGGGGGGGGGGGGGGGGGGGGATCTTCACGGGGTTCAAGCATGGGTTGCTGAAGACCAATTCAAATACGGGTCTTCACGTGGGGCAAGCATGGGTTGCTGAAGACCAATTCAAATACGGGTCTTCACGTGGGGCAAGCATGGGTTGCTGAAGACCAATTCAAATACGGGTCTTCACGTGGGGCAAGCATGTGTTGCCGAAGACTTATTCTGA